CCAATTGTTTTAAAAACTACACAATGTACACAGCGCAAAATTCAAAACATTTATATTTAGAAATTCAAAAACGCTACGTACAATTAGGTAGCTTTAAAAACATTTTGTGGTTTTATCCTTTTTTTTTTTTGGGTTGGACTGAGAGCAACCATTTAGCCGGCAAGGTATCTGAACAAAAGCTAGGAAGGATTGTTGTTTCTTCTAAATCCTTTGCTTTCCCTTACGTAATTCACTAAGAAATTTGCTTTTCCTCTTTGCCTTTCCGATACTGGTTGGTCTGTAACAACTGATCGTTGATTGACAAATGTTTCGATTTTTAGTTTTAAACTAAAGTTATTCCTATATTAGAAAAAATCTGTCAATACTTTGGTTTTGCTTTTTACGCAATTCCCACCCACCCCATTACTCGTGTTACCGCGTTAATTAAACAAATTTTGTATTCGCACATGAAATTGCCTGACATAAGTGTGTGCGCGGGTGAAATAGAATCTCCTTTTACTTTACTTGTTTATAAAAACAGCTGAACTTTTCAAGATATCTTTTGTGCTTGCCCAGTAACGATTAATTTACTTCATCGAAATATAGTGTTCTTGCATATAATATAAACACAACTTTTACATATGTAAAGATAGAGTTATGCACACAGTTTACACATTAACAAATGTTTACATTATTTAATGAGGAAAACAACAAAGTTCATTAAGTCAATGTTTCGGAAAATATTTCAGGCAAATATATTTCTATATAATGTAATAAATAAATGGGTTTTAAAAAATTTGAGCTGCCTTGCTTATATTTCACTGTGGAATGTTTCGTTTAAGAGACGCCGTGCCCACGGGTGTACAAGTGTGAAATGATGTTTTTTTTTTGCAAAAAAAAAACCCACTAAATTAAGAAAATAATAAAAAGAGGTTTATTCAAAGGACGCTCCATTATTAAGTACACATTTTGCCCATCTTTGGAGTAAGTTACGGATAGGACGGCTTTAAGAATATTTCCTTTTTACCGCGAACCTTTTCACATCGTCTTCAACACCATAGATACGGGCAAGCGCTAATTGGAAGAGCGTGAAGTTTCGTAAGCAAGACGCATGGGATGACACTTTCCAGTTAAATGCCGCGCGAACCGGTATTGCCATACGTGTTAAAGCATTGTCACTAAAAAGACTGCATTCCTTTGAGCCTTTTGCTCTGACTAAACACGGAGTGCTTTCGCGCCTTGGTGCCGTTGCGGACGTTACGTTTTCCTGGGTCTAACTATGAATTTTTGCGCGTAGGATTCACAAAACAAACCCACTTTAAACGTCCACGTTCGCCACGAACCCGCCCCTACCGAACACAGCAAGACAATACTATGCAGACACCTTTTCAATATATCGCTTATGAGCTTTGCATGCTTTTTGATAGCGCAACAAACTGTCATATGTATTAAATCTTTATACGACCCACTGTTTTAATAGACCATATGTTTCCCTTCCAAATGATGATTTCACATTTGCATACCTCATAACATCGATGAAAAGTAAAGACTACAGTCTTCGAAAAGTTCCCACACTTGCCTACAAATGAACAGCTATTTTATCGCTTAGTTATGACGGGCTCTAACAGAATATATATCACGCAATCTGCACATTCATGTTATACCTTAATATTGACTAACATTTTAATTCCAAAAAAATCGACGCCATAATCCCACATATTGAATACTACATCCATCTTCGCCTGCCGACATGGTCAGATATTCGGAATATTTTTATGATGTCTTGCGCAAACTCTTAAGCATACAAAATATTTCAAGAAGTTAGGTCATTTTGAATTTCGTTTCATTTTTGGACTCGCAACATAAAGCTGCCATTGCTATAACATTTGATGAGAAAGAATTACGAGGTTCATAAATGCATCCACTGTATATAGACTAATTGAGCAAAGTTGCGATTTCTTAAACAAAACTATTGCGTATTCATTTTCAACTGCCCGGATAAGTTAACAAGATAAATTGTGGCATCTGACGCTCTCAAGTAAACCCAACAGAATAGTCAAATAATCTCTTTGATCACAAGAAGTAGGTAGGGTTTGTGAGATAATAATGTACTTGGTTCATGTATTTGAAAATTGTACTACTTTGACTGTAAGTCGATGCGTTAAAGCAGGGGTTTGATTGAGTTCGTAGAGCCACATCTCTAAACCTTCCCTTGAATAAAAATTTATAATGAATTCTTTTTCCTATCTTAACATGGCTGACTGCCATTCCCGTCAATACTTAATATTAAGCAAAAAAAAGCATTGTAATCGAACAAGGCCGAACATCAAATACATCATAGGCCACATAGATTAATGCACTTTTCCGTTTATCTTCGCGATGAAATAATAAAAATCAGAAGGAAGGGAAGTCTTATTTTACTTTAGTTTTCCTATCGATAGGACAGAAATTGCACTTTGTTGCCTTATGAACATATGCTCTCCGTTACGCAGCAAGGAGCACAAAAAAAGGATCTACCTGGGCCAAGTTTGTTGCAGTTAATTTTGATGCTAATTTACTCTTATGAATATTAAAGACTTGACTGTTTCCCCCTATAAAGAAAGGCCTCCACGCGAATGATTCGATAGAAAGTGTCTCAAAAAATGTTGCCGTTCAGTCCAAGTTTCCCACACCTATTTTGTGAAAAGCTTTATATCCCACAATTGGTCCGATACAGGCCATTTTTATTACCTTTCGCCTTTGGATCAAAACATCTCAGTATTCCAAATTTTATCAAAATATTCCAAGAATATGTGATTTAGGCAGACTGGCAGATAAAGCTTAATTCGATTCGGAAAATATTCTTATTTTGAAATGCTCTAAGTTATAAAAGAGAGAATGAAAGGATATAACACCTGGGAAAAAGAGCAAGCAAATATAACCATAATAATTGTATCCTCGTAATGTAAGCCGAATAACCCTCAAGAGTCATACAAGACTCTTCATTGAACTGACAGATTAGCAAGTCACTAATATATTGACATCCCTCATTTGGTTATCACTGACACTAATTTAATTCTAATTCTAATTGAAATCCTGTTTACACACGCAGTTCTAGATCAAGTCCAATTGTAATTTCAAACCTAATCCTAATCATATGCTCAGTTCTAGATCTAATTTTAGTTCTAGTTTCAATCTAATCCCAACTCTAAGCCTACTGCTAATTCTAATTGCAATCCCAATTGTTATTCGTATTTGCATTACAAGTTCTATTTTCTTTTTCTAATTTTAATTCTTATTCTAAATCGAATCAATGGTCTAATTCTAATTCGAGCCCTAATTGTATTTCTCATTATCGTTCTACTTTCTCGTCTATTTTTAATTCTAATGCCGATTCATCTAACTCTAGTCATTCTTCGTATTTTAATTCGAATTGTATTTCTATTTGTAATTCTACCTTTAGCATTAGTATTGTTTTTAATTCTGATTCTAGTTCGAATTAGTTGCCAACACCTGTACAAAAAATTCACAAATTCAATTATCGCACGAAAGCAAAATATTGACACTCATGTTAAAATGAAATATTAGAAGTTTATTAAATGAGTTTATCAATCAAAGTTTTTCTTTGAAAGTGAGTTTCGGCGAAAAATGTATCCGTTACAACTTGAACAACAACCTGAGAAAGCATATAAATTTATGTATATATAATATATATAAAATCGTATGTTTATGCTTCTTTACCTATTAAGCAAGGTATCAATGTGCTTTAGAAGAAAATCAGACAACGCTATGGCATTGGTGCCAGTCATTTTGTTGTAGAACATCGTTTCCCCAACGGAATTTTGAAATATAAGATAAAATATTAGTTTTCTTCTCTTCAAAATATGATCAAATTTGTGAAAAACAGTCCCCTATGGATGAATTTATTAAACTGGATCTTTCATCTCCGATGGGGCTTGCAAAAGTTCATCTTTACCTTTTTCTCTAATTTCTTTTTAACGGATCCACACATTAATATATAGTGCCACAGTTTTAACTGCTTTTGTTGATACCCAACAAATAAGCCAATGAACCCAATTACGAGCGTTCGTCTTGACTTTTCTCGAGTATCAAATATGATGAAGAAACCATAAAATGAATTTATATTGAAATACATATCATTACTGTTTTTATTGTTGTTGCAGTTTTTGAAATTTGATTTATTTAAACAATTCATTGAAATAAATAATAAACAAAAAAAAAAAATAGAGGAAAAAAGGGGATGAAGTCTATGTGATATCAGTGATACTTGCCTGTTGCTACCGAGAACTTATTTGATTAGGAATTCGCATGTACTTGTTTAGCTTTACAAACATATATACTTATGAACATTTACTCAAGCATTATCTAGATTTTATATAACATTTGGAAATTTTCTTCATTTCGTTTATTATACATTCATTATATTCTTCACCGGAAATGTGCGTAAAGCAATTATATCACGCCAACTGAATATAGAGTCAAAGACCAAACACTATCACGAATTATTCCCCTATTGTGAGCTCTTGAAATAAATATGAATAAATTGAGAGAATATTTCCGTAAGCTAGAATGATATTCATGTCCATGAACTCGTTTTTCAATAATCTAAAAACATTGAAATTATTTCCTGTATAAAACCGGATATACGTCAAAGATTTTGGCAAACAACTGTTATGTAGCATTCTTGAAACTATCTTATAAAACCTGCTGCACTAGTTTTGCATTCGAAGCTCAAGCAAAAGAACTTTCTCATAAGAAGAAACAAGTATACCACGTAGCAATCGAGAAAAATTCATTTTGAAATTGTTCGACTTTTGTAGAAAGCCTTTGATAAAAAATCAACGTACGTTTACGTAATAAATGGATTCAAGTTGTGGCTTCTAGGAAGAAGTTTCAACGCCTGTAGATTATATAAAACCTCTTGTAATTTTTTCTTCAATTCTCTTCGGAGGCGATCAACACTTTCATTGCATTACCCAAAAAGTTGATTTTTTCTTAATTGAGCATATGGAAGGACTTACCCATCAGTAGCCGAGGCTTGCATTAGATTTACTGCAGCCATATCATTGGAGCCGAGATTATTATTAGGAGTAATGTTACTTTTATGAAATTTACTGCGCATTACTACTTGCAACCATTCGGGTATAGATGGTGTTGGCGCCGGATCCGGAGTAAATCTACAAAAACGAAAAATTCATAAAGGATAGCTGAAGGCTAATCTTTGAGGTGTAATCTTTGACGCACCTAATAATCGAATTGCTATGTTTCGTCTTAGGTACCGCAAATATTTCTGTATTAGCTGATTTTTCCAAATTTGTTTCCAGCAATTGCGAGGAAGGTGCTGTTCGGCTCTTGCCAAGAATTTCTACTTCTAGATTAGACGCCGAGTGCGTTAAATCATCCGAACATTTACAAAGGTTTTGATTAGTTTTGTGTTCCGTAATACCCTCCATTTTATTTGTATCAAACTTGATCAATACTAAATAATCGAACAGATATACAAGAGAAAAGGAAAAACAAAACAAGGAAAAAGCAAAACCGCTTTGGTTTCTAATTAACACATTTGCGTATACCCCACCTCGTTATAAACTCACATTTATCCAATGAACCCAATTTCTTCACCAATGTATACATCATTTCGGGTGTCCAAAAATTTGGTATTCGGGCGAATATGGAACCACCATCGTCTGGTAACTGAAAGCCCAATTTGTGTAAAAGCAATAGAAACGGTTGATGTAACATTGTCAACGTTTGTTCGTTATTCCACTGTACCAGAGGTATTGGTTTATTTTTCACTGAAACGGAATTAAATAAAACAAATAAGAGAATTAGATACGCCTGGAGCCGAACCTCTCGCTTACACGTCGTCTTTATGTTGAGCCGTAAACTCAGAAAAAGAAAAATCAAAATCATAATTGAATTTCGCCATTCTTTAACATTCGGTGGGCATGGCCAATTGTTCCATTTTTTTACTAGTATTGTAATACTTCTCACTACATTTTCATTCAGGTATCTCCTATAGTTGACGAGTAAGGAGCAGAAAAAACCAATTTTTTTTGCCTTTCAAAAGAGAGTTGTTCTTGGAGGGATAGGTAGACTAAGTCAATTAAGAAAGTGATTATGTATTGCACAATAGTTCTGTTTTCTATAGCAAGAGTTTCTGTAAATACTTTTAAGAATTATTCTTCTTCTTTTTCTAGAGCACCGCAAATCAGCAACCAAGGAATCACTTCGTTTAGTATTGAGAATTAGTTCACTCGTTTTTGAACAAAACTTGCTTCTTCGCCAGTTACTATTTCACGACTCTTTTGGTTACGGAATAGAGCTGTAAACTTTTCATATATTCCGTGCCCTCACTCTTTGCTTGTTTACGGAGGGAAACCACGTCTATTTTGGGGTCAGGTTCTATGTTAAGTTTTCTCTAAGGTTTTTCTAACTATTCTGTGCAAAGTCTATCATTTAACCGTTCGTTGGTCAGTGACCAAAAAAAGCTTTTACACCTATCCAGTCGAGGTAACATCCATTACAGTTTCTATAAAACGTATAATAAAGTAATCATTCCATCGTGTTCTCTTGAACAAATGAAAAACTTCCCAGGACAAAGGAGATCTAATGCACTCTAATGTAATGCACTGAATATTTATTTATGTCTGAAATGACTTGATCCACTATAGAAGCTAGAGCGAGACCAACGAAACGAGCTATTAAATGAGAAAGTCCATCCATCCATCCTTGTCGGATTTCCTCGTAAACTTTTATCATTATGAATGAAGTGTTTGCGCCAATATTTTTGTCATTCTATCATTCTACAATCCAACGTCATATAACACACTCTGTGTTTGACGAGCATACGAGTATATCACTAAAGAGATCGCCACAGTCTACAGGTTAATGAGAAGCTCTATGCCACGAATGCATGAAATTTTAATGTAATATGGTGATTGGATTACTTACAAATGCAATGATAGGCCACTGGTTCCATAACATACTTTAGACGCCGGCGATCTTCACATTGTAAACCGTCTCGTAACATTAACTTCACAAAACAACATTCTAATAAAAGCTTTTGAAGCCAGACTAAATCTTGTTGCTTCTTCTCTCTCACAAGAAGATCGAGCAGTATCTAATGGAAAACATTTGAAGAAATTTTTCATAAAGAAACAATAAATCAACAACAACAACAACAACAACAATAACTTATATACCTGTATATCATCCGAAGATTTTCCAGAAGCGGTGGACCCCTTCATATCAATGCCGGATTCTGTGGTACCTGAAGTAGGCGTAGTTAATAACGAACGCTGATATTCTGCATCCTCAAATTTCATTAAGTCATCATGTTCGATTATAGTGATAATATCCTTAATAATATCAAAACGAAACCAAAGAAAAAAAATTTATAACATAATTGAACTCTTCCATAATTCCATTGATTAACTAAATACCTGTTGCAGCAACTGCCTTATTATCGATATACGGGATTTTTGTTTATTACCATTGTTCCTAAATAATGAAACAATTTTGCCAACGACATCATTACTTTTCTTGCTCTGTACATAGTACCAATATAAAGTGTCTTTTTCCTCTTTGGTCCACTCCCTGTAAGAATAAAAAAATGCGTTTTAATTTTAGTCTATTTTCTCTTTTTATTGCTTTCATGATATTAAGAATTCTTTTTACTTACGTAAACGCCTCTATATTAGATTCTTTATTTAATTCGGTTAATGAAGCTGTGGGTAATGTTAAGGCATTTTTCTGCGGTGTATTGATAGCCTTATGAATAACGTATTCAATCAGATCAGACCAGTCCTGTAAGCATTGTTTAAATTGATTTATCAGTTTAAAAATGAATACTATATATGGGTTAGAAAAGTTTCGACATACATCACATAACTGATAATCGGCTTCCCATATCCGTAAATACGTTTTCAATATATGCGGTTGAAAAAGCATACCGATCTGACCCAAATCACCAGCAATATGATGCATCATATTAAATATACAGTCGTTGACGTATTCTCCATTATTATCAAAATCTTCCAATAATAAGCCATAAAAATGCATCACCTCCTGTGTTGCGAATCTAAAATTAATCCGCGAAATAAAAAAAAGATCATTTATAATCATCACATTAATCTCTTAGTATACGGAAAATGTTTAATTTATTTTATATGGAACAGAGGATGTCACTAATAATGTCAACTCAACAATGCGTATTTGAAAACTGTATCAGTGATGTTTCTTTTTTCAGAGCTTTCAATTTTTTGGCGGCTTAATTAATGCTTTCCATCACTCAATTTCGTTTTCAATAACTTCGAGTGTCTGATGTATTGGGATCACACTTCAAAAATTTGTAATTTTTTTCATTTTCTGTTAAGAATGAACCATGCTAGTCACTGCCTGCTCTAAGTTCTTCGGAATGCTCTGTTCTATAGTTAATTTGGCATTAAGAGGTGTGCATGTATATGATGTTTCCTGATTAAATATTCAACTTTAACTTATTATCGATAGTCTCGAAAAGAAATGTAGAGACATAACCTCGGAAATCCTAGCAGGCCACTATATCTCTCTCCCTCCCCTCTTCTTTTTAACCATCCCAGCGTTACATCTACAGCTAACGTCCCCAGAACTGTCGTACAAAAAAGAAGAAAACAAAAGAAATATCATCAAGTATTACTACACGTCCTCCAAATTATTTCCCAAGTTTGTAAAGATATTCAAGTGAGCGACATTGGTGAACTTGATCCCGGACAGGACGACAAGCGCAATGATAAACCCGGTTAGTTAGCAAAAGAATTTCACATATATCCTCTATTAACTGTTCGAAGGAGATAAACATGGAACGCCTACAAAGCTTTGTCTGTAGTTCGTTTTAAAGATCACTTGTGATACAGTGGTACATCAGGTGTATGCAGATGCAAACAACATACAGAAGGCGTTGAGATTGCGCCACCTTTTTTTATTATACCAATCTAGGTTTGTCCGCCCGTCAGTTTGCAACTTTTGATATATTTCGATAAAATTTGGTACACTGACGTGTTTGGTGGCAAGGAACGCTTTTGGATGGGAGCACTTTACCGACCACTTCCCCTAATAACTATATTGTGTTTACTTGTTTAACTGAACTTACTGTGAAACGTGTTCAAGCATCTTCACATTAATCTTGTTAGCGTCGTTGTTGCTGTTGCTATTGTTCGTTCTTGTTACTGAATCCAAAATTAAGAGCAAAACGTGATTGGTTACCACCAAATCTTGCAGGTATTGTTTGTTTTGTAAATTCGGATTGAAACGGCGAATTAATAAAACAAATAAATTGCGTAAATCTTCGGCGCCACTTATTTGCGCCTGTAAATGTCTTAAATGTTCACGGTCATCTTCACTGAGATGAGTGACTTTTTTATAAGTCTCTATAGCTTGCACGAATTCTCGTATTGCAGTAACGGCTAAATGCATGCGCCTTAAATATGGTTTTAAATCGCTGCCTTCCTGGCGAGCATTCAATTCGAGTTGTTCGCACAGTAAAACACCTTCGTAAGTCAGATAACTAATGACATCATAGGTAAGTATAGAGCTAATATGTTCCATATCTAATTCCAGTTGCGCGGCAAATTTTAGGAAATAAGTAATTAGCCAAAAGAAATGCGACGTATCGATCAAAATATTCTGTTTTGAAATGAAAATCAAATTGAATTTTATGGGGTAAAAGTTTCGCTCTCCCGTAAATCTTCAATATACATACCATATCGCCTAAAAGTTGAGTATGCAACTCGGACACAAGAAAACCGTAGCCTTTAAGTAGAAAGTCAACTGTAAACTCTTTCAGAAGATTCGAAATATCATCATCTGTAGGCGTATGTTGAACTAGACCTTTCATATTAATTCTGAATGCATAAAACATCAAAAAAAAAAAAAAATAGTTCTTGGTACAATTATTCGCATATTTCGCATTTTTTATACTTACAAACTGCTTTTGCTCCGTTTCACTAGCTTCTTACGTCTCAAATCTTTGTTGTCTAAAGGTATCAACACTGTTCTCTGTTTGTTACGTGGCTTTGAATTGCAGGGCGGTTTTTGATGCTGCGGCTTATCCTGAGGTCCGTCGTCACTTGATGTGGAAATGGATTCTTGATTTTCGACTTGAGTGCCGTAACCACAGTCGGAAAGCTCCGACTGTGAAGATGGACACTCTCTTTTTTGCGGACCACATTTACCCTTAGTTAGATTCAAGCGTCCCGAATGTGGCGCTTTCTGACACATCTTCAGTGTGTCCATGGTTTTGGTAACTGGGGCGTTACTAGATGCATGACCTAATGAGGAGCCCTTTATTGGCAAGGCAGGAGGAGGCATTTCACAGTTTGATGGGGTGTTGGTAGTGTTTAATAACTGTTCAGCTGGCTGTTCTTGTTGTTGCACTTTAGACGATTGCAATGATGTAGATTTGCGCCGGTCAATATTTTGTGTGAAATCCTCTTTCAAACTATTAGAAGAATAAATGACAGTAACATCTGAGTAACCACCTTCTTCTTCGTATGCTGCTTCCATCGCTTCAACGATACTAACTTCAGACACTGAATCGGATTCGTCCGTAACCATTTTAGTCTTTGTTTTAGGTTCGGCTAGAGCACAAGCGGATTCTTCACAATCGGTAGTTCCCATATCACTTGCTCCTTCGGAACTATCCACTTTATCAGCTGGTACCCGAAGCATAGAATCCTGATATTCTTGGCCTTTGCGGCTCACTTCTTGCAGCGTGGCCTCTGTCTCGTCACGTAACGCTTGCCGACGATCTTCGGGACTAACATTATTGCAGCCAGCGCTACCTATTATAGAATCAATCGATTTTAAATGCAAAAGTTAATAAAAACTTTTCAATTTGAATTTAACTTACCGTTATCCGAAGAATCGGAAGTGGGATCTGAAGTCATTATTGGACTGGAATTGCAGCTATTTTGTTTCGGGGGCGATGTATTACTCTCATTGTCTTCTGAACTTTCCGATAGTGAGGCTTCGAACCACATATTCAATAGCTTTTGCAAAGTGCCGGCGTGTTGATCTTTATATATTACTGCTATCAATTGCACAATACTGACTCCCCAGAAGGAACGTTGCGGACAAGTCATCAAATAGAGCAACAATTTGTCGATGCTTTGTATAAAAAGATTCCAAAGTATGACATTTTGCATTGACACCGACTGACTGCCGGGTGTTTGATTGTGTGACGAAGAAACTAAATAATTAACATTAGCTTCCGGAATATGCAAAACGTTGCGCAACAATAGCAAGCAATTGTTAATTTGATCACATTTCCTCGTTGACAATTTGCAATCGGATTCCAATATATGCTTAATATGCTCGACAATGCATTTAGTACTTTTGGGATCGGTAAAGGCCTCTTTATTTGTGTGTAACAATTTGTTTACCTCATATATTGTATGGCGTCCCATCTCAGTGCGGTACATAACGTCCACCGAGAATAGGCATTCAACCGGTACGGTTAAGTTAACCAATATCCGGACAACTGCATCGAAGACATCTTCATTGGTGCTATTCTCCAATAAAGGTATCAAATCCGAACGGACATTTTGCCCAAAGCCGATGGCGCGACGAAAGGTCCGTAATGTTTGATCTTCCCACGTTAGCTTGTAATTGATATCCTCCAATATTGCTAAGGATAAGGATAGAGAAGGAAATGTGAAGAGAAATATTTTTTTTTTAATAAAACTTATTTAAAAGCCTTTTCATTACCTACGGCGTTGGGATTTACAACGTAAGTGTCCCCGTGCGGAGAACCCAATGACGAGAATATACTATGAATTTGTGGTGTTGCCAATAACCAATCCATTATAAATTTTGCTTTTTAATGATTATGATTGAATAATGACTGTATAGGAAAGTGTTTTATGATGATCGTCATCGGCGCTACTCATTGGGAATTTCAATTTTTGTATAATAAGATTTCTTTTGTAACTGTAAAAGTAATAAAAATAAAACGATTTAACACACAAAGCAAAAACATGTTATAATATTTTTATATATATATATATCTCCTACTCTTAATCTCTCAAAGGCTAAAGTACATGTAACCGTAGTATTTCCCACATCATCTACGAAACAATAAGAATTGGAATGAACACATGTTTAAGGCACGCAATTGTTAACTGCTGCAACAACAATAAAACCCGTGTGTGCGTGGTTAGCCCACCAATAAGTAAAGAGTGCATGGAATAAAATGCGAGCATCAACATGTGAATGCAAACCACTTTGAAAAACACACGTATCTCAGTCACGGGTTGGCTAAAAATATTACACAAGCCCATAACACTCACTCGCACGCGGCAACCACTAGGCGGATGTAAATTTTTACGAGGAGATATTTAAATCTATCAACAGGAATATTTTAAACTTTAATGCTTTCATAACAATAATTTTTTTGTCCGTCAATCCGTCGTTTGCAATAATTTCTAAACTTGAGGCAAAGCACTCACCCTAATTACCATACTTTCCATTCCTTATGGTTTTCTCATATTAAATTCAATCAATAATCAGTTAACATATTCGTCCAAAATTAGTAAACTTTTAAAAATAAACATTGCTCTTAGTAGGTTGGTTTATTCAAAACAACTTCTCTATTACGCACTATTACTTGCGCTTTTATTCATCATCGTGTAATGTGAAAGTAGGATATTTGTACCGAAGAAGGTCCGATACTATACTCTATTCTTTAATTAAGCTTAAGCCCCATCCTTTTTAAGAGGGCGAGTTCATTTTTTTCACAAATCCTGAACCTGTTCAATAAAATGCAATAAAACGAAGGATGAGTAATGGACAGCAAAGGATTCGATCTGACATAAGGCGGTTCTATTGTTTATCTTTTCTTGCCATTCATGAGATTTATGGAACATGTATCAAGTATTCATATTCATTATTAATGTGGAACAGGTACGTTAATGGCATTCGTTCATCAATCAGCAATAAAGCCTAACCGGTTCGCAGCAGGTTAGAGGGCATTCAACTTTGCGGCGCCTCAATGATCAGACCCTTATCCTTCCGATCATCTGCTTGTATCGATGGCTCAAGAGGTTGTTAAATTTGTTGAACAAAATTCGTTCAACAACAATGGCTCGAGGAATTGTTGGCTATAAAGGGGAACAATTTTTTAAGGCGTGGCGTCTACAAATCGCCCGTACGATGGGAAACCTATGCAACTAACGACCATTTTTTCTCATTCATCCTCCAAGTTTAAGATGTTGTGGCTTTTCACAAGTACGTACCGTGCGAAAGCACACTCATAACACACTCAGAATGTATACAATACACATATCTATCTAATCTCGTTGAATTCCCTTGCAGGCGCTTCGTTATGCCAGTCTTTCCATAAAATTGTTCTAATGCAGAATTGCTACAGGAAATCCCCTCTACATATAATCAGTAATGTAAATCAGAAAATTTTCTTCTAACCAATACCAATAGTATTGTAATATCTCTCTTTTTGTACAATTACACAATCAATAATACAACTAAACATGTGTGCTTATGACAACGTGATGTTTACATATTATTTATCTTAATACGTAACGAGATCTCCCTCTCTCATCTAAAACCCTTAAATCACTTATGTGTGTGTATATTTGTGTAGGTTTTATTTCCTTACTTCTCTGTATTAAGGAAAAAAACGTATTTCTAAAAGCTTTCAATTTGTATTTGATATGCAAGTAAAGCTTAATTTATAGTAATGCAAACGTGATATAACAAGTTCTTAACACCGTGTTATATAAATGTTTATATGTAAGTAGTGCTTCTCCCCATTCACAATGTGACATATGAATTCGCTTTCATAAGAGCTACTTACTAACCGTGTTCGGTACACTTTGTCCATTCAGCATTGCAAGTTCAAATGATAACAATGACATACCACACGCCCATGTCTTTCGAAAACCTTGAATGTGTGTCATGGCAATTTAATATAATGAGTTTGGTTTTATATAGAATTTCTATATTTAGTTCGGTTAGAAGGTATGACCAGTGCATTCAAATAGAAAGAAAATTCTAATGGTTATTGTATACCATACTTAAGTAAGACGCGAGCGTTTAACAATTCATTGCTCCGCACCCGCACGCCCAGCTAGAAGCTTCGAATTTCTTCTTTTTCCTTTCTTAGAAGTCCGAGAAGCAGTTATTATAATCTTTTTGATAAATATGTCAAAAAGTGTGGTCGATAGATAGTTCAATATTCAAGTTTCTTTTTTTTTTTTTTTGCTTGATATTCTATAGTTTGGGAATGCAAAGCACAGACTAAAGCTGAATTTATATTCAAAGCGATCAGCAAAAAATCTCTAACCTAAAGTATCTGCAGCATTTATTTTCGGCCATTAAAACCGAATATTAATGCCGATAAGACGCAAAGTGCTAATGTTTATAGGAAGGTGTTGACTGCAATATATAAAAGTTAGTGAATCCGTACTCTCCATCGACATTTTAAATTCTGTCCAAGTCTCTCGAAGCGGCTAAGTTTATATGAGTCGAGAATTTAAAAACTGAATATAAGTTTAAAAAAAAACTCCTCCACTAGCAACGTATAGCGGCCTTCGTAAGAATATTCTCATAGCATTAAATTGAAATTTCGTTCGAAAATATTTTTTTTGTTTGTTAATAATAATTAATAAACTGAATTAAGTTAAATACATTTTTTCTAACAAAAACCTATACACTATGGCTTTTGTGTCAAACGTTTTGCATAAAACTGTTCCGCATATTTCAATTCGAAAATATAATCTTCTAATTAATTCTAACTGTATTATACTTAGTATAAGGAATTTTTATAAATTTAATCGATTTACAATCCAAAATTCATCTAAAGACATACTTTTAGCTGCTTTTACTAAACGGATCAGATGTAAAGAGGATCAAGTGTAAAATATTCTCCAGTATGTACTCTTAATTAATGTTGTTCAATAACCTAATAAACTTCCGTGCACATAAACTAATGCACATATATGTATAATTTTAATAAAGCAATTAAAAAGAAAATATTAAACAACATTACATACAGGCAAGGTCGACCCTTATATACCGGCATCAATTCGCCTAATGCAATTCTTTATTTATTTTCATGACAAAATGTCAAAGATTATACATCGCTACTACGTAAAAGCATACTTTTCGTGGCAACTCCTCTATCATGTGCGATGGACCAATTTTCACTGCAGAGAACATTGAAATGCGAGAACTTTTTTACCTAATTATTCAAAGCTTAGTCATAGAAGCGGTTCTACGAAAAGAAACATTCGAGAAAGGTCATAAAAGTAGTCCGATCTAATGTGTTGTGCCAATCACTGTCTCAAGGGTTGCAATCCTAAGGATGATCATAGAGATAGTAGAGAGTAGATGCACATCAGATAAGCAAATAGACGGACACGGAAGCTTAATTCGGTCCTTCTTGAGCCAAAAGACTTCGGTGAACCAAACTTCATGAAAACTTCTCAAAAAATTGAACTTGTAGACTGAACGCAAAAATACTTCAAGAAGAGAGATGAGTAGACAGGCAGAAAGGCAGGCTTAAATTCGGGCAAGATTAAAATAGCTTTCGTCCTACTAAACTAAAGTCAGATCTGACTTTTGTCAATAGCCGCAGAATAAGATAAAATGGCTCTGCAAGCACAGTCACACAACAAACCCAAGACGTTTCCGTCAAGATCGTTATTAACAACTGCCTCCACTAGTATAAACAGCAAACAAAAAAAAATCTCACTTCTTATATAACAAGAAATTAATTCTTGCACCTTCTTCTTCTATGCACAGTTTTCCATAGCAAACAAAAACAATGTAAGTGAAAACAAATTGCACGCTCACTGCACGTTCAATGCATTTGTTTTTTTTTTTCTTTTGTTCGCGGTGTAATATTGCCAATGCTAAAATTCCAATTGGAATAAATGTTTGCATAAAGATTGTCACCACTTCTTAAAATCTATTTAAGTTGAGTTGATTGGAATTGAACTTTGCAGATATTTAAAGTCGTGTACGCCCCTCCTTTGTCCCACATAAGACTTTTAATCGAGGTTTTCCAAACGAGCTTTTAAGCCGATATAAAAAATTGTGATGCATTTAGAAAAAGCGATGGCGCTGTTCTGAAATAAAACTTCTGCAGCAACAAAGGTTCTCTTCGCATTAAGTACTGCTATGTACTTTTCCTTAAAGTCTTCTTTAATTTAAAAGACAAGCTTTTTTAGTTTAGCTTAACGTTTGCGATAGTTATGGTTATGTAACGGTAACTATCCAAGATAGGGGATTCCTGCGAGACTCATTGTAGCAAACTTCGTAGCATCAAGGGTGAATTTTGACCTCAAATATGTTTTTCAATGTTAATTGTTAATTTAAAATAAAATAACAAAAAAAAAAAAATTCTTGAAAATTGAGCCTTACCGTGATACGATTAAGGTTAAACAATTTAAGAGAAACGACTATCAAACGCACGAGGTTGGCTACATCTACACAAGAATTTCACCTTTATCAAGAATCTCGCTATCAGATACGAGTGCAACTTAATTAAACATTGAGATTGCATTCGAGTTGCATGTTTTACGCAAGCCGGCAGAGTTCACATTTTAACAGGCGAAGTGTCACTTTCATCACTATTTCATATGTATTTTATTATTCCTTTGACAAGCATAACCGAGTATTGTAAAACAAATAACACGGCAAAGTAATCTCATCATGTTCAATCAACTGCAATCATTATTTTCAATCCCCTTAAAGGGGAATGGAACGCTTTAAAGCATCGATCACGTAACAAAAGTTAAATATATTTGAGTTAAAAAGCAATTTCGGAAGACACGTTTACGTCCACGCTTTAATTTCGAATTTAGAATTTAAATGAAAGAAAGCTTAAATCAAGGTTTACTAAGTTATGAAATACAATAAAGTTTTTTTATAAACTGCACGTTAGAAAACGTGATACACACAAGCTTTTCCAATTCATTTCTCCTCAAAATCGCAGTCATTACTAGCGTATTCGGTCGTTTGAAAAAAAACAACGAAGCAGATGATGAAACGAATGAAATCAAACCTAATCATAGAAAGGGAATTTTCTGAATGCTGTCTTGATGACCAAAACCGAACATTAGAGATTCGTGTTGAACACACAGAGACAATAAAGACCGCATACGAGACTCTATGAAATGAATTCACTCTTAATTTGTACGCTATACATATTTGCATGACCGTCCAACAATTATTTATTGCTGCAATTATCATGTAACAAAAACTTATGTAAAACACTGACGCTTGCTCATAGGTTTTTCTAAGTTTCGCTTTCGAAAGATATCGATTTAAACTATGGCTTAAATATTTACTAGAGCCAAAGTTCATTGCAAAAATTGCGACGATTGCTCAAAACTGTTCATGTTCAATAATGTCGTATAGTGTTGTTGCCGTTGTTAACATTGTTTCATCAATGCTATATGGTTTTGTACGGTTTGTTTTGAGTAGAGCAGCGGAAGTAAGTCCGTCAAGTACTTGTAATTATTTTGCTTTAACAAAGAAAATATATGGAACACCTACTCTTATTTATATACAACGCAAAGCTTGAAGTCTTTGGCATAGGAAAGTATTAGTGCTTTACAGCATTCTGGTCTAATCGAGCCGGTCACGCTGAACTTTACATAATTAATAAACACAAAAGATAGACGACATGGTTATCTGTGACTAAGGAAAGACTACAATTTTTGCGTATTATTTTGAGTTTCTTAAATGCTAACATAGCTTTCGTATTTATTTTTTATTAAACAGTAATTTCTTAATAAATAAATTAACATAACATTGCTGCTATTGTTTTTACTTCTTCTACATGTAGTGCAAAATACGTTAAGCTTGTGCGTACGTACGTGACATTCTGAAGAACATGAAATGGATTCAGCTTTTATTAGCATCATCGATCCAAAATCATTCTCTTAAGTTGATTTTAAGTTGTCCGTACATCCGTGCATCCGTCCATCTGTCTGATATCTGTTCAACTTCTAGCTCAAAATTTCTAAAATGCGTTAACCAAATTTGGTGCACTGATGTGTTTTCGTTCAAAGACGGATGGGCGGACGCCATATTTATGACTATTCCCCCTACCTTATTTTGGTAATTTCCTTATATGAAAAAAATTTGTAATTAAAAGATTTCTCGAAAAAAATTACAAAGTGATAGCTTGTTGGCCTATTAACTTGAAGGGCAAAATTTGAGCCAAATGGGTCAATTAAATGCATAGGTGCATGAGGCAAAGTCGCGAAGGATATTTAATTATGTGGTTGTTCAACTATAATGTTTTTACGTTTTATTATTTTTTCTTTGCATTCTCTCTCCTTTCGCGTATTCATCTCTTCAATAAATTACATCTCTCTGATAGTGGCACCGTTTTGAAGATAAATTATTTTAAACTTACTGTACTTTCAGCAATTTTGTAAAGTATCGGAACCTAGTTTTGTTTCGTAAGGTGCTCTCCCTTATGTCGAAGATTTATCTTTTTACTATCTGCTAGGTGCTCTCACCTTTGTATTTGTAGAATTTTCACATTGATTTTGTAGAGATTCTTTTTCTGAGCTTCATATTATTTCTCAATCTAAGAGCATTCTTCTGAACCATTTTGATAATTGCTTGGAACTGTATTGTTTTTGTATTTTCCTACATATTTCATTTCTTTTCAAACATATTTTGGCTGAGAACCCAATTTCCTTCTGTTATTTACAATTTATCTAATATCTAGATCCAATTCTTTTTTTAAACGTTCTTTTCTATACGAATTTTAAATAACACTTTTTTACACGAAAAACACCCCAAAATTTACTCGATATTTTGAAAATCTCTCAGAAACTTATGCATACAGCAACAAAATATTAGTAGGGGAATACCGGGAATACCGATCGGTTTATGTCCACACCGGTGTTAAGCGCTTGATCTGCTATTAACAAACGAAATAGTTCATTCTAATTATACCCGGCAGGTGTACTAAGCTTATCTGACATAAATATTCATAACAAGGTATTTGAGCCAGTCCAGTGAGCAATTGCGGAATCAGTTTATATTCCCAATTTCAATTTAAATTTTTATACGTTGTACTTACGGACTGAATTTTCTTTCTACACTATTTTTTTTTTTTTTTTTTAAATAACAATGAACCGTTTTTGTTTCATAAATCTGTAATGTGGACTTCATGATCACCTTTTTTGCACGGTTTTTGGGAAAATGTTTGAAATTTTTTCATCTTATACGATTTTTTAAAATTGTGGAACATATCCCCAAATTTACCATATGCCGCATGTACCTTTTTACACGATTTGTTTGCACGGCTTTTGAAGGAATATATCTACCGTGTAGAAAAAAGCTAAGTGTATTTATATTTTAGCCTGAATGGCTTTGTATTACGATGCTGGGTAAATAAATAAAAGAAATTCCAAGTTATTAAAAATAAATTGAAATTTTCCTTTTTTAAGGTTTTTTCAATTTTGAACCCATTTCTATAACGACCGACAATAGTTTTGAAGTAGAGCTAAACTTTTTCTCGATACTTGCTTATCTCCAATACACAGGTTAGAATCTCACACTGACCAAAGATGTAAACTTGCTAAAGCCCCTCTTGCAGGTACTTTGCCTTTACGAATGATCTCGCTAAACTAATTGCTTTCCCTACTTTTTAATGCGTACGAAAAAGTGACAATTATATGCAAATTGCTTTGCCGATAATAACCATATATTGACCTTGCAAGTATTTGAAGCAAAAACAACAATTTTATTACAAACTAAATGCAAATTGAAAACTTGAAAGTAGATCTCATTGAATAGTTCAGAAAAGCGCGAGGAGGAGGAGGAAATGGGCTCAATACTTTTTTTTATTACTTCATTTCATTTTCTCACTTAGAGAGCTACGTGAAAACCTAAATTAGGTGATCGCGGTAACTATTAATTAATTTTAATTAAGTTGCAATATTTTCATTCCTATGCCAAATATTATGTTAGACTTACCTATGTTTATATCGATGTTATTATTGTTTATAATTTTTTCAAGAACGAAGTAAGAACAGCGCAATAGAAATAATCCACAAGAAAAAGGTCTTTGAAAACTTGTGCACATTAGCTGTTGCTGTTCTCGTGCGCTTTCAGTTTCACTGAGTTATAACGCATTTGTATTCGCAAACTAATAATCCGTATTTAGAGAGTCATTAGAGAATCATTAATGAATTTTGCGAACTAAATGCACACACACGATGTCAATAAGTTTTCATTTCATTTATTCATGAATAAAACTTTAGCTTAAGAGAGTGCAGCGCTTTTCCGATTAGATTCTCTTAAAAAGAAATATCTTTTCTGTTCTATTCTTTCCGCTGTCTCGATCTCTCTCTCTATCACTCTTCGTGTCCCTCTTTCTCTCTCTCTCTCTCTCTCTCTCTCTTCAATAGTTTATTCAAAGTTAAATCATTGAATGAAAAATTGGAACTGAGAAACCAGTTAATTACGAAATACGTGTAGTGATCATTAGATACCAATACATATAAACAATGCTTTCTAATTAAATTAACGAGTCACGTTTTTTGATACTCTATTTTAATATTTTTTTTTATAATATAAGTTAAGAATTTTGTTTTTGTAAATTTTATTTTGCACTATAAGTTAATGATTATTATGAGGCAGAAATTTAAACAACTTCTTTTGCATAAAAAATTTTGTACTTTTTCAATTATTATTAATTATTATTATTTATCATTTTTGATCCGCTCGGCACATCCGTTCAGTTGCGCTTTAGAACTGTGTTTGCGAGCAAATGTTGTAGAACATTAGAATTAGAATTAAATTTGCTGATGCCTGTGCGACTGATTTCGTGCTTGCTTCACAATTTCGCTGCAATGTTTGTGCAAAGCCGGGAAAAGCTTGAAAATTTCTTTGTGAAAGCTTTCGTTTGTGCTCATGTAACAGTCCGTTTTATTGTTTTAAAGCGGCACGTTCTCAGAACGTTAAAATCTAATTTTCGTTAGTCATGTTTTTGTTTAAATCACGTGTTAAAACAACGTGTAAGCCATTCCCTGCCTATTCCTTTTGTCTCTTCGCAGCGTCTTTTCTCCAAAACCCTTCTATGCATACGCATACACATAAGCTCTTTAAGTACACACATCGCTTCAGTAATACAGAGTAAAGTTTCTTCTAAACTCTCCGCACCATTTTACTCTCCCATGTAAATAAACAAAACGCCTTCCTTTCATCGTAATATATAATGAATCGATTTTGATGGGAATACCATCCCTGAGATTTTTAAATAGCACGTTGACTTGTTGACGTGTGTCCATTGCTTACTTTTACTACTTACTTTTTCGCTTTTTTACACCCTACAACCCTTGTGGCACAGAGTATGTTAGGTTAGGGCAGACATGTGTAACACCCAGAATGACTTAAGATAGACCCATCATTTGTTATACCGATCGATTCACAAACATTCAAACAAATCAATCTAAGCCTGTCTATTCGTTTATGCCTGTTCATGTATTTTTGCACTCAATCTGCAGGTCGCAGTTTTCGAGATATTTTGTTGAAATTTTGTACACAGACGTACTTTGGCCCAGGGATGAACGCTATTGAAAATGATATGGATCGGCCCACTTTTCCGATCAGTCACCATATAACGCCCTATTCTGAACTGTTTATGTGAAAACTTTGGATTGGCCAGGGCAATTTTTGAGCCTCTCTCATATAACCGTTCCTACGGAAACTGCAGCTCTATATAGTCGAATTTCCAATATTTCATAATCAAAATTGGCTCATAATTGACAATGGAATCTATCTTCCCGAATTTGAATCACATAGATCTAATTTTTGGATACCACCGCATATAAGGATTCTCATGAAACGTGAACTGTTGTGGCATAAATGCCCAATTGTTAATTTTTTTGTAGTGAAAATTTGTTCAATAAAAAAGTTAAGTGGACTTAATTTGAACCACATGAGTCTATTTCTCGACTCCCTGTAAGATATCTCATGACTAGTAAACCCTTCGGAAAAAGTCTTAATTTTTAATATTTTATGATGAAAGTTAATTCTTAGTAGCGTTTCAGCAAAAAAATTAACTGTGGGTTATTTAGAGCAATTGGGCCAATTTTCCTTAACCACAACACGAAGTGGAAACTCTTATATGTACAGAAAATCGAACCTTCTAATATGCGGACTTGCATGAAATAATTGTGGCTTTGCATGAAAGTAATTTGTACTTTTTGGTGTATTATTACCGACACGAGCGAATAACAGTACCAGACGAAATGATGTAGCGTATGTAATAGTAGGAGCTGCCCGACAATAATGTTCTTACTTGCGTTTTTATGATTATGCCTTTACGTTTACACAAACTTTTCAAGTGCGCAATAAATGCATCGAAAGTATTCAAAGTCCGGTATGCGCGGTCAAAGATCTACATATCATTTTATGGCAGATTTGTCTTTGCATTTGTAACAGCCAGATAATCAAAACACCAATAAATTATATATATTTTTAATCAGTGTAAAAGTTTCGTTAGGTTTCACCCTGTTTGTCAACTTATCGGTCTATTTGCCAATATTGAGTTCAGAATCGCAATAGTTATATCCACAGCAAGCAAAGAACTTTCATCTATCATGAGACTCGTCAGCATTAATTTATAAACACATAAGTGTACAAAAGATTTTAATGGATCAACAAAATATGCTGAAAAGATGGTCAAAGGTTCCCTTCAAGATAATCAATTTGCTTTATTTTTGAAGATTTTTATACCCCACACCACTGGTGATGCAAGAATGGATAAATATCCATACAAAATAGTAAATACGCTGCATTCGCTGCATATCATTAAAGTGTCAGCTATCTCATGCAACTTTACTTACGGTCTTCCAAGACGATTTGGGCACCTTTTTTTACACTTTCCAGTGCGACTGCCGGTTTGGGCGTTCAAAGCGTTCAGCTTCCGTCGATATCAGTGCATACGGCTTTGTTTCAATGCTGATTGGCGAACAACATTTATACACTGCGCTACCTGTGGTACAAGGGACAAGGGACAAGGGACCCAGAAAGACTTAGAATAGACTCACCGATTGATTCAAAACCATTTCCTGAATTGGCCTAAGTTTGTCTGCCTCTACAGCAAAATTGAAGGCAACTAAGAGTGCTCTCCATATTTATGAGAACGCTGAGCGATAATATTCATATTCTCCCTACACCGCTTACAAACCTACGTGGAAAATTGAATATGAGTATGTTCTCACCGATATATTTCAAATTTGGTGACAGCCAGGAAAACAACTATCACCTGGCAATTTGTGGCCAATGAATACGACTTTAAAGCTTATCTAGAATCGAACGCCCAATATCGACGAAGACAAAAGATATAACAATATCCCAGGTACAAGGCAAGAAGCAATCTCATTTTCCGAACAATATATAGCAATGTCAAGCTTTAAACGCATTTTTCTCGAAATACGATTTTTTAAGACGTCAAGCAACCGCTTCAACTATTATTCCTTTGATTAGCATCTTTAAAATAGCATTTTTGTTAGGGCTTTTACATAAGTTCGTTAGTAAATTTATATGCCTCGAAATATATTATTGTAGCTTCGACTAAAAGACCATTGAATCGATATGAAGATCAGAGCGATTCGAAAGAAATGTGTGCCTCTACCAAGCCATTAAAAGTATGTGATGTGGAAATTTTGATGTTGTTTAGGAATTCGACTACGATATTATTAATATTCTTACAGCTTTCTCTGTCAGTTCACAATCGCAATTTTCAAAATATCCTATTAGTGTCAATATCTATAGACATCTAGCTTAAGTGATTTTTTTTTAGGTTGAACATTATCGTTACTAGTTGTACCAGTTGTACCAGTTGTAAATATGTACGTGATAGCTTCTTCTAATATTGCTAAACTATTACTCTTTCTTCCGTCACCAAAAAAATTGTCAAAAATATTACCCTATGAAGCCTTCAGCAGAATGTTCATTATTGAACCGATCACATTTGGACATGTGGGCGCATTCTGTCGTATTTGTTACGGAAATGTGGCTGACTACGTATTTAATCGAGTTTTAGTAACTTCAGTGTGTGAACCGTAATTATCTACAACTGTAAGCTATGAGTTTTTCATAAGACCTAGCAAATGCACGTCTGTTCATCAAATTATTTTCCATTGTCAACCCTTTTTACTGTATATTGTTCGTGCACATTATAGAATGAATTCAAAAAGCAAAAAATTACTTTAATTTTTCGTTTCTCCCTTTCTCTCTCTCTCTCTCTCTCTCTCTCCTATTTTTAGCGGCTCTTCACTTTGCTTTCTTTTTCTCAGTTTCATTGCAGAGCTTTTATTTCAATTCTAATCTAATGAAAGTTTCTTTCCATGGAAATCGCATCGCGTTGTACTCTTGAGTGAGCTTTAAAAAGTAAAATGAAACTAAGTTTCTCTTGCAAATAATAGTATTTCGATTAATTTATACATAACGTGTTTAGTTTATATGGTTACACACGATATAAATGCATATAAAACATCAATTCAGTTTGTACGTCTTTCATTCATAGTTATATCATGTGTGCTCAGCCTTTTGACTATCACGTTGGACAAATATCTTTAAGAAAAATGTAAAAAATTACATAAAAATCTTCAGGAAAGCTATATTTGAGTCCTTTCCCCAACATCTGAATAATATTTATACTTTAAGCTCAACATCGGATTCTTTAAATTCCATCAAATCCATTCTCCTTAATAGTTTACTTAATTTACTTTGTATGATTGACAAATTGAACGACATATGTTCACCGTTATCACTTATCAAGCTTTTGCATGTTTGCGAGGGCTTGGGGATTCATTCCCGACTTAAATCTCTATTGACTACGAGCGTGCCTCTCTGCTAGATGTGTACATGCGGTTTTTTCTTTTCTTTTTCTCTACTTTGTTTATACATGAATTTAGTTCTTTTTCATTTTTGCTTCATTTTTTTTCTTTGCTTTTCTTTATAAAGTTTTTCGTAACTTAATCATAGTAATTAGCATAGGACTTACTTTTAAGGGTCAATCGAATTCGGCTATCAAGTTACTTTAGCTAAGTTTCATATGCAAGTAAATAAATAAGTAAATAAGCGAAGGAATAAATATTATTTTAAAAGATATTTTCTGCATATTATTTCGATCATTTAGCTCAAGAACTTAAACGATTATAATTTGCTTTATATAAAATTATAAATTCACTTATATTGAAAACAAGTAAAAACACTATAGTAAGCTACGGCTCACTTGTGCCAAGACACGACAGCGTATTAAATTTCATCAAAATATCTCGAAAACTATTGCCTGAAGATTGAAAACGGGTTGGACAGATGGACAGACACGCTTAGATCGATTTAAACAATGCTTCTTCTACAGTAAAAGCGGGTCTACGCCAAGTCCTTTTGGGTGTTGCGTACATTCATGCAAACTTAATACACCCCTGTACCAAAAGATATGTAGGATATAACTGTGATTACATGATACATAAATAATATATGCATTATGTATAGATATATTCAATTAACTTACGGGAAGAAATTGTAAAAATTCAATTTCTCATTATGCCACAAGATATCCCGTATATTCGGCAATAAGCTTTTAATCTATCGCGCAGTGCAGCAAAATATGGGTTTATAAACCTATGCAGTTGCGTTCTTCAAGTGGTATTCGGTTATTCGAATTTGCCACAGCGTAGTTTGAAAAAATCCACAATTGCAAAGAAACAAATAACAAGAGTTTTTAAAATGCTAAAATTTCTCTAAATGTTAAATTTTGTGTAAACAACAAGTATATAATTTTATAATTTTCATATACTTAACTACTAAGAGACGAGCACAATTTTCTTCCTTTCTCACTTAGAAGGTTTTAGCTATTCTCGGGCCAAGAAAAGCTTAGAACAGTGGATTTATCCTATTGGCACATGAAAATGTGTATTTTTCATCAGACTAAGACTTTAACCTTACTCCCTCTCTCATCCTCGCTCGCCCAATCACTCTCCTTCGCTATTCGTTCGACTAGATCTCCGCTACCCGTTGTCAGAAAGTATGATACTCGGCAAATATATTCGTAGTCGATGTTCACCAACTAAGTTTGGCGTAAGTAGGCGAAAAGTGCATAAAAGACACAGCTCATGGACTAAATATTAATATTTCCTATTAATAGGTTAAAATACGATAGAAAAATCATCCTGATCGAGGAGCTGATACGTTTACAATGAGGGAAATTTTTTGTTTCTTTGAAATGATCGGCTTAAGAGTTTCGTTCTCAAAGGAAAGAAACTTTCTTTTACTTAGGTTTAATTATGCCGACTTTTTGCAACGTGAATAAACAGTTCACAACAAAGGAAAAAAAAAAACCCTGTCTTTAAAAGCTCCTTAATATCACATGAATATTTAAATGAACACACGTTACTGTCTTTCTCTAAGTTAAAATAATGGCTATTCCCATGAAAGGAATTAAGGAGTCTTCCAAATGTCTTTTCAAATGTTTTGTAAAGATATATAGCCATCTGTGTGCGAGCGTTTGTAAACAAGAAGAGTTTTTACGGGACACGTTTTCAGCCATCCTTTCCGACTGCTTTGTCAGCTGCAATACAAAGATTACGAAACTGTTTCGTATTCATGGCATGGCATGGTACGGTGCTATTCAACATGAGAGCACAGGAGCGTATCGATAAAAGGAAACATTTTTAACAATCTAATAGAAGAGAGAAAGAGAAAGAAAAACATTTTAAATCATTGTCAAAGTCAAGTGAGAATTGTTAGAATGTTTTCTTTTCAAACACGTTTCATAAGCAGTCGATAAGAAAACCGGCGTAATATTCGTTTTAGTTTGACGTCACTTTCTCTGTTGGTACGTACGCCACTCAATGAAACTCTTGCACAAGGATATCGTACAAATGAATGATTTTAAGTTTTTAATAAGTGTGCCTCTCCACACTTTATATAACGCTGAAAGGCTGTTCAATCTCTTTAACTATTTTTTTTACCATCAAATATTTAGTTTATTATAAAGGTCTTTGAAGTTATCTTCCTCTACAAGAGGGACTAGAAATTCAGTTCAACGGCAACCTTTGAAAAAAAATTGATCTCCTTCGCTAGCTCTTCTATCCCAAATCCTAAAACTTATTGCACTTGCTTTTTAGGGAACTAGTTTCTCTTACTCTACCTAATATTATGCGGCTGCAAGAAAACATTCCTTATATTCTAGTGGCATATATGAACGTTTAATGCATGAACACAGAAAAAAGCACTATATGCACTTTAGTTTCATCTCAATTTTAACAACCGAGTAAATTGTACGAAGTAAAACGAGGCATGCTTAAATTAATCCAGAGCGCATACATAGTTCCTGTCTGGAAATTACAAAGAGAACAAAATCAGCGGCAGATAGTTTAGAAACGAAATAAACCCTTCCTTGGAACATCATTTATTTGAAGTGTTGAAAATGTGAAATTTTCAACTGAAGTTTCCCTGTGTGTTGCGTTATTTTTCTTTTTTTAAATTATGAAAAAATAGACCATTGTCCAGCCTTTATTCTCATCTCTGCTTTTCCGCATAAATGACATCACTTGCACCCGCCATATTTATAAAGCTTCGATCGAACAGAATATGTGATGATTATTTCAGCCTGCTCGTCCAAAGAGACACAAGTTTCTTAAAGTATTTCTATTAGTATTTCTACTAGTATTTCTATTTTATAACCATCACAATTACCCTAAACAAGACTAGGAAACAAGTTAAAGAATTAAATTTCCAGTATAAGCGTAAAAATTTATATGGCGTATGTGTTATACTTTATGAAAAAAAATTAAATAAATTTTTTACTTTTTTGTGCAGGCAGTGCAGCGACCAATTTGACCCATTTTCAATACCAAACGGGACGGGACGTAAGAACTTCAAATGTTTCTGCCAAGGTGGATGTCGATAGCTTCATTTTTTCCGCCGTGAGAATGTTCACAGCATTACCACATTGCACAAGCAGACAAACAGAGATACGGACAATCTTGCATCGATTCAGAATTTGATAATGATCAAGAATATATAAATATATGTGTATTGTGGGGTCTTACGAATGCTTATTTGATATGGAAATTAAAAGACAGCAGTAGTACAACACAGCATGAGACGGCCTCTTTTTTCAAACATTGAAAAGTCTTAGTTTTTTGCTACCATAAGAAATATGACAAGAAAACTTGACGTTTATATTGTAAGGATGGTCCTGCGCCATCTGCACAAAAATGGAGAAAATCAGCCACTCCTATTCAATATTAGGGAATATTCAATTTAAAAATATAGAATATAGAATAATAGAATTAAGCTGTGATGGGTGTGAAAGGCGCGATCGTGACCGAATGCAGAAAGTTTCTGACTTGTTTAATAATGAAATTTTTTATTTTCTATAGACCGTAGATCGCAGATAAACGCTAGATCATGGTCGAAGTGAATTGAGTGCGTAAATAGACAAAGTTCCTGAAAAGTTTGATAAATAAATTGAACTAAACATTGCTACCAACGCAGATAAGCGCTTCAATTTACCAACACGACAATGATATATCTATACTTAAGATCACGCTTTCACATACATGTCATTTTGATAATAAATAAAATGTTTAATGTCTTCGTAACTTGTGTCTCTAATATGTATAACGTTTGTTAGTTATCTTTCGGATTTGAGTTATCCTCTTCTCACATGTAAAGACTGTATGACCTCGTACACAATTTTGAAATAAAAATTTATCTATCTATCTATGCTTAGTTGGCTAATGCTACTTGTGTTTGTTGTCTAGCCGCGATGACCTACTTTTCTGAAGTCTAAAGTTAAACGGTATTGATAAAATAGGAGCGAAATGGGCAGAAAATCAACGGGCGGTCAGTTTCTAAAGTAAAAGTAACAAAATATGCTCTCTTCATATAACTTCGAAAAATTCTCTTTATATAAAACCCTCAAGCGGTTAGAATTTCTTTGGCAGTAAGCTTGTGAACTCAGTGTGGTGAAGAAGTTACTTAGAATTAATTTTTACTTCATTTTCCAATAACAAAGCAGACATAAGAAAATGTGGCTTAAATGCATTATTAATATCATGATAACGTTCTTAATGTGCAATGTCGTGCAAATTCAAGGACTAGGTATTTGCCGTACTAACCTCACAATATAATATAAATCAAAAGAGAAAAACTTTTTTCTTGATTTCTTTTCAACTCAAGCAGCTTGTTTAATACCCTCTACACATCTTCGGCAAAAATTAAATACGAACTCTCTGAATGATCTTCCGCGCTTGACGGACAGCCGGATAGTAGGTGGTCAGCGAATCAATATAACCGAAGCTCCTTATCAGGTTTCATTGCAAACCGTTAAAAGAGGTCACATATGTGGAGGCTCATTAATTTCCTCACAATGGGTATTAACAGCAGCTCATTGCACTTTGTAATTATTTTTCGGTTAAACTAATGAAATTCATTTCAAATAACTTTTTAATATTTATAATATTTATAGTCAAAGACAAGCTTCCGATTTTAAAGTACGTCTCGGCAGCTCATATACATCGCACGACGGCCAACTTTTAAATGTAACCGAATTAATACAACATGAAAACTTCAATTACTCTAACGTCGACTACGATTATTCATTGTTAAAATTATCCGAAGAAGTAGAATTCGATGAAAGCAGAAGACCTGTTAAATTACCTGATTCGAAATATAATTTCACTGACGGTACCACGTGCTACGTGAGCGGTTGGGGTAATACGCAAAATTCAGCAGAGTCCTCTCAAGAGTTGCGTTCAGCTGAAGTTCCTTTGTTCAATCAAGAAATGTGCTCAGCGAAATATAAGCGTTTTGGCGGCATTACGCAACGTATGATTTGTGCCGGTTACGGTAAAGGCGGTAGAGACGCTTGCCAAGGAGATTCGGGCGGGCCTTTAGTTAGCGACGAAGGCGTATTGGTTGGCGTCGTATCTTGGGGATATGGATGCGCGAAACCTAACTATCCGGGAGTGTATTCGCGAGTGACAACAGCACGCGATTGGATACAAAAAATGGCTGCTGTTTAATAAACACTTTCAATATTTATCTATTCTGTTATCTGTGGTCTTATTAATATCGTTCAATAAAAGTATTTGATCATTGCGTTTTCTATTATAATTATTATTATTACTTGCGATTATGCTTAAACAAAAAGGGAAACTAACACCAGCTTTTCACGGGAAAGCCATTGTATGACGCTAAACAAATAATTTTTTCCAAATATTTTGGGTAAAAGAAAGGCTAAGGATATTAAGGAATGAAAAAAAGGGAGTATTTTTGAATATGACAAAGCCACACTTGCAAGATATGCATAACTTAGGATCTCCTGGGGAAAACAGTGTAATTGATGCAAATTTGAATTTAACAAATAAGAAAATTAGATTCCGTCGCAATTGAATTTTTTATACCCGGCTCGTCGACTAAAAAAAAAAAAAGAACTAAACTTTTATGCTCTATAATATTGGATGGGCTCGGCTGATTTTTTCTATTTTAAGAATAAAAATTGAAATTCCTATAGTACACGCGTTGTACTTTATGAGCAACAAGCAAAAAACACGGAATGCCGGACGTGTTAGGCGTGTCGTCTGGCAGGTTTCGATCATTTTCAAGTTCTTTTGCAAATTTATAAGCGATAGCTTCATCTTTGCGGGTAGGAGCATGTTTAAAACACACATTCTACAGGCAGACTATACAGACTATATATATATACCTTGGGGGGAGCTGAAGCCTCCTTCTGGGCAAACGCTTTGAAATGAAAATGACTATACCACTATGTATAAAAAAATCTACGCAACTATGTGCGGTAATATCATCAGTTATATAAATGAAGTTTGTCACTATAAGACGCAATTCGAAACACATTATTCAAAATTCGTATAAAAAGAACAAAAATTGTTATAAAATTATACTGTTTGTCGTTTTCAATAACTGCATTTCGAGAAAAGGACATTGAAATGCATTGTAGACACGTTTTTTATTACAAAAGTTTTTTTTTGTTATTTCCTCCATTACCCTGCAATTTCAGAAACATACGACTACCAATCCATGTGCCGACATTCTTCCACATTCTCGATTCTCGATGGTTTTTCCCAAACATGTCTTAGTTCTACTACATCTGCCAGGAAGAGAAGAATACGTTTTGCACTCTGTATACTGTGAAATGACAGAGAAAATGGCAAAAGAATTGATAATTTTATAGCCAAATTCATAATAAACGTCAAAATAATTATCAGCCAATTTCTAATTTCTAAGCAGAGGCACTGACTCCTTTCGAATCGCTCTCAGCTTCATATCCATTCAATGGTCTGCTTGATGAAATGCTTTTAAATAAAAATCAACACTTTCAGAAAGCAATGTAATGTGTTACTGTAACTTCCTAGCAGGCATTTTCTGAACGCTGGTTTTTAAGTCCTTACCCTACAAGGCTCAAAACGTCTATTAAGCAAATAAAGTAAAATTACGTGTTTTTTTTTAAGGTAGTTTTTACAAACTTTAGTCATTTCGCCTCAAGCATTTATAAATTCGACTATTTTGGTCTTAACCTGAATATTTTCATTCCAACTGAGCAGGTGCACCATGTACTTTATTGTAAAATTTTCATCCATTTAAGTCTTCGTGGATTTATTTTTGAATATCCGTATTGTAAATATTTTTATTTATATATCATTTATTCAATCTTTGTTTTATATTATCAAAATATAATCATAAATAAGAGAATTAACAGCGATTTGAAAAAAAGCAGAAACAAAATAAAGGAGCGAAAAATACCAAAACTATGGAATCGTTTTTATCGTTTCCATTTCAGACTTGTCTTGTATTCGAAGTACCACTATTCTACCACATAAACAAACTGGCATCCAATTGGCGTAGCTGGCTTACCGTTCTCTTCCACTAAAGACACGCATTTCTGGTTAATATCCAACAAAAGAGTGCCATCGTTTAACAATGCTTTGCCTTTTTTGTAATCGCGAAATTCGGGTATTTGGCGAGGACCCATAACAGGGTCTACATAACGCCAGATTTTTAAAGTGTCCAGATCAGCTACAAATGATACATTTTAGAAAAAAAAAAGTTATAGGTTTCGACAAGGTTCACCCACCTTTAAAACCTATAAGTTTTGCTAACTTCTCTTTTAAACTTTTCACTGTTTCTCCTTCCACTACCATGGTGTTCACTTGAAAAAGACCTGAACGTTCTATAGGATTAACGAAAGCCACTGGAACATGTGGTGCAATAGAGAAGCTAATAAATGGTGCTCCAGGTCGTACTTCCTCACGTGTTTTTTCAGGTGCGTCTAAGTCGTCAGTGTATTTAATTTCTACAGCATCCAAATCTAGAGTACTTTTCAAATATTCCAAGTTATCCACTAACACTTGTCTTTCGTCGAAATCCAAATTTACGGCCAATGCTGACAATCCTTTGCCGTTTTCCACTTTCTCACGTACCGTTTGAACGAATGGCATCACACGTTTCATAAATTTCGTTAATTCTGCCTTCTTTTGCAGAGTAGCTGCTAAAACTTTATTATCGGGTAAAGCCTGATGAGTTGAGTAAAGTTCACGCATGGTGTCAAGAACACAGCATTGCCAGGGTGGATAGGATTTTGCTACCCACACCACTGCTCTATTGGGTTTCAAAGACAACGGATCGACCGGTTTTTCTTTGCCGCCTTTTCCTTTCACTTGCAAAATATTTTTCAAGTTTAAACGGAATACGTGAGCAGCCTCCATAAGATATTCAGAGCGCAGGATATCCAATTCATTCACTTCGCCTACATCTGGCCATGAAGCATGCCAAATAGATTCTTGATTGCCTAATAACGACCACACATGTTCGGCTACGTGCGGACAAATTGGAGACATTAGCAGAGCTTGGCGGCGTATGAATTCAAAGATGATTTCTTCATGCATACCCTGCATTCCACAAAGTTCCCGGTATTTGTCACGAGCTAATTGTAATTCATAGAAGCCCGTACGCAACGCTTCTTTGAACAACATTTTTTTATAATTGTCATCAGTCTGTTGCGTTTTTAAATTCATTTCGCTTATGAAAACGTTATCATTAAAATTACGGTGCGTTCCCCTACGCATAGCAGGACGTACAGCCAACATTTCCTTAACCCATTCGATAAAATTGTAAAGACGTAAAATGCCAGCATCGGCTGTACTTTCTACAAAGTTGGCGTCTTCAATACTATCGCCGGCATCAGCTAGGCACAAACGCGTGCCATCGGCTGAGAATTTATTCACTGCTTCGTATAATGTCAAAAAATTACCATCGGATTTCGACATTTTAGCCGAGTTCAAAAGTAAGTGACCATTTACTCTCACTCCCTTAGGCCACTTTGTGTCATCATTGGGCCACATAGCAGCATGATTGTAGAGCATAAACGTTAAATGGTTCTGTATTAGATCCTTACCAGAAACACGCAAATCCATAGGATACCAATATTCGAATTCATGGCGTAATTTATCCAAATTTTTTTGCTCAATTTTACAGTTGTCCGGATAGGGAGTGTCCTTAAAAAATAAATAATCCCATACCTCTGGACACATATCGGCTGCTTTAATACCTAGCGGGCTAGGTTTTTCACCTCTAAACGATCCACCCTGAAGCATATGAACCACTGTGTAGAAAGCCATGTATATGGTAGAATCAGACAAAGATTCAATCAGCCATTGTTCGTCCCAAGGCAATTTAGTGCCTAAGCCGTAAGTACGAGAACAAGCATATTCATGTAGCCATCCCAGGCAGTGCTCGAAATTGTTCCGAACTTCTGCATGATAAGTGTCCATTTCCTTTAGTATGCGCTTAGCTTGAGCTTGCCATTCATTTTCACCGTAGTTCAAATACCATTGATTACATAAGGCAACCACGCACTGATCACCTGATCGCGAAATAATAGGTTTTTCTGGTTCGTAATACAGTTCGGCTTCTTTATTATCGATTAATTTCTTTTGCACTTGTTTTTTGACATCTTGAACCTTCTGTCCTTTATATTCTCCCACCAATAGAACACCATCATAAAATCCTTTTAGGTAGCACAGCTGCTTGGCCTCAGCTAACTTCTCTTTATCATTTTGCGACTGTATTTTAAATAGATCATAAGCATGCTTAGCGCATATCGAACCTAATGAAGGCACCTCGATAATAGGTATAGGGTTACAAGGCAAAACCATTTTGTCCTCTATATTGTATTTCTTGCGGAAAGCATCCTTCCTTTGCAAATCAACAAGAGCAGCATAATCATCGGGGGAATCGGAAGGTACTGAAGTAACCACTCCAGTACCTTTGTCTTCTTTAATAGATAACATGGGTAAAGTGTAGATAGGAGAAGGATGTAATGTTAAAGGCGACGATAACGAAATGCCCATAAGTTCTAAACCAGTTAATATCAAAAGCTCTGTGACTTTGCCTTCTTCGTCAGTAAAGCCTTGATAAGACATATTGCGCGCTGCACGACGCGTACTTATCCATACCTCGTTATCACGATTTGTCTGCCAGGCAACGTAAGTGATGTCGGGATGTAGCCAACAATTAGTTTGCCCATACATTGTTTCAGGACGCATCGTAGCTGCCACTAGATATATTGGTTGTTGCAAAGACCTGTAAGAGAAGTTATTGCTCATTTTATACTCTTTTTCTATTAATCTTAGCAATTTTACTTTAGTTTGCCATTTTTGTCCAGAACCTTCATTTTAATTAGAGTATAATCCTGGGATCCGACGCCTTCCCCAGTAGAACGATCATGATCCATGCAGGGTTGACCATCTTTTGGGGAGAAAATAGTGTAACGCTTACCATACATGATCTTACCACGATTTTTTAAATGCATAAATTGCCAGCGCACAAACGAATCGAAGTATGGATTAGCATCTGTTGTTAGGAAAGTTCTGCGCCAATCCACCTATAAGTAAATCAAATGAACATCTAAGGGTCGTTTGTATTTCCAGCACTTACATGAACGCCGATTTTTTTTAGATCTTGAACCGCCAGCGGTGGAAAATAATCCAACCAATAATCAGTCTCGGCAAATTTCTTTATCTCTTCGTCTTTTAGTCCTAAACTTTGCATAATTTGCCACTGATACTTGGCCGCGCCTGCTTTTGCAACTGCTTTGCTTTTCTTCCCTTTTGATTTATCCTTTGGAGCTTCAACTTGTATTGATTTCATCTCATCAGAAGATGATGAGTCTATTGAAGCATCGGGAAACTTAGGCGGATAACCGAAATCTTGCAACTCCCGTCTTAATTTGTCGGCGCAGGCCTTAATAGGCATTCCGGTACAATGGAAACCAAAAGGCCATAATACATGTTTGCCTTTCAAACGATTAAATCGCACCGCAAATTCGGCTTTAGATAATGAAAATGTATGACCTAAATGCAAGCGGCCATTCATATACGGAAACGGAAATGTAACAAAGAATTTTTCATCTTGCGAATTTTTTGGAGTCATCGGGGCATCTGATTCATGCAGACGTTCCTTTTCCCAACGTTGCTGCACTTCCTGTTCTATTTCTTGCAAATACTCCACTTTAAAAGTGCCTCTACGCTCTATTTTCGCCGTCTGTAACAATAAAATGCAAAATTACATCAGAAAGTTTAAACCAACATCATCAAGCTAAGTTCTAATTTTAGTAATAATTTTATACCATCTTCAATTTAATTAAGATCCACTTTATTCAACTAACACTTATTCTGCACTTATTTCTGCTAAATCGAACTAATTTCACTTGATAACTGAAAGTTAAAATTGGCAAAAGTGCAACGTGTTCTGTGTTTTGATCGTTTTTTACAACTGCAAAAAGGCAAAACAATTAACAATTTATCGTTAGTTGAAGCATTTCAGTTTAGAAGATAAACGTTTAATTATAATTAAAAATACACTTTGTAGGAAATTTTTCTTATAAAAAAAAATAAAGCGTTACAGTGACTCTTAATAGAGATGGTTTAATAAAGCAGGTACTTTAGGATCCTTTAATATATATAATATTTATAATATATTATAAAAGTGATTTAAATTGCTATTCTTTTTTAGCGACTTTCTGTTGCAGATTATGTTGACAGCACTATTTCACATGTGCGGCTACAAAAATTAACATAACTTGGCAACATTTTTCTTGTAAACAAAACAACAATTGATGACATTTCGCAATGTACACAAACATACTTCAATTAATTTCCAAAAAATATATAAAATAAAAGCCTAATCGACTGTTTGTAAACAAACTCAAGAAAATAACGGCCTCATCATGTCGTATATGCTTCCACATTTACATAATGGATGGCAAGTGGATCAAGCTATTCTCTCTGAAGAGGATCGTGTCGTCGTAAGTAAAATTGATATTGCAATCTAATGTGTGAAAGAGAATCTTTTTGCATTTTAGGTAATACGCTTTGGTCACGATTGGGATCCTGCATGTATGAAAATGGATGAAGTCTTATATAGTATAGCGGAAAAGGTTAAAAATTTTGCTGTCATTTATTTAGTCGATATTACTGAAGTTCCTGATTTTAACAAAATGTATGAATTATATGATCCCTGCACAGTGATGTTTTTCTTTCGCAATAAACATATTATGATTGACTTGGGCACTGGTAATAATAATAAAATTAATTGGCCTTTGGAGGATAAGCAAGAAATGATTGATATCATTGAGACTGTATATCGTGGTGCTCGGAAAGGTCGCGGTTTAGTAGTTTCACCTAAGGATTATTCAACAAAATACCGATATTAAATTAGATGTAATAAAAACATAATTTATTTAAAAAATGTCCACAAACTTATTTTGACTGCGAATCTTTATATTTATTGTGCAATTTTCACCAAGTTCGCTATTCAGTAAATCAACTTTTTTTAAAAAGTAAAAAGATTATAGTTTTATCTATTAATTTTGCAAATATTTATGTAAATTATAAATAGCAGAACCTATAGGAACAAGGAACAAGAGTTGTTGTACGTTCCACAAAAATATGTTCATTTTAATTAGTCCTTTTGCTCGCATATATCGTCTATTTCACTAAATGTATTAACACTGCAGGTATTACGTATGCTTACATTTTCTGAGAATATCGATTCAACATTTTCTCTCGTCTTTTCAGTTTGATTTTGCAATTTCCGTAAATTGGCTCTTGCTCTTATCGTCTAAAATTTTCATTTAACTGCATATTTTCCAAAACACTAAGATGCTCTTGTAAAAGCTGCGCGTTATTCAATTGTACAACGTTCGATGACTAACTTTAGCTTTTTCAGATATCCAATTTTTAAAGCGCGCTCACAACTGTCATAGGGCTCCTGGTATCCAAAACATTGAATTATCCAGCGATAATTCCATGAATTCATTGAATTATCGAGGGATAATTCCATGTTATATACACCAATTGCTGTGAAAATTGCATCCGTGCGAAGACAACATACCTCTTAACACTTTATTCGGTTTTTCTTTCTCTGACATGCAGTTGGGTCAGTTGAAAATTCAGCCATTCGGAATCCATTTTTGTTTTTTTTTTTTGCTATATAAAAGAGGAATGGATTACCCCTATAAGTGATAAGACAACACAAGATCTTTTTAAGAGCTGCAGGTTCATAATCGCTATAAAGATGATAACAGAGAAAAAAGATGATCCGAATGATTTGTTGACTATAATGATACAATGATGTTAACCTTTGTCGATTGGTTGACATCCAAGCTGTAACAATCCATTTAGTACTATCCATTCTGGAGTTTAGCGCAAAAGATTGATATCAACCAACACTGGACAGGAATTATTGATCTATGGAATTATAAAAATGAACCCATTTAAATTTAATTTAAACAATATGTCACAGTTGCCAAAATTGGGAAAGAACCGTAATTTATAGTCTGTGTTGCCAAGATTTTTAATTTTTATATGTTGTATGTACTCATGGATTGAATTGTCACTGTGTACTAATTTTAATTAATTTTTGTAATAAAAATGTACAGCTTTTATTTTATAGATATGCAATACAGACTTCAATATTACTTTTTTTGCATGGTTTTTTGAAAAAATGTATAGAGCTCTTTAGTCTTACACGATTGTTGACCTTGTGGAACATTTCACCAAGTTTACCACATTTCGCATGTATCCTTTTTATTTATTTATTTTGGTTTTTGCACGTATTTCTAATGCACACATACACCGTGTAAAAAAAATTACATTTCGGTAATTACGTATATGTGATCTTCGTGACCACAGCATTCTTGACATTTTACGTTCTCACAGTTTAATAGCTTACTTCGCAATTTTTTTTCCGCGGCGGTGGAGGTGGAGGTGGAGTGCATAGGAGATAGTAGTCGTCATTACTATTTCAAACTAAATTTTAAAATGTGTCTTAATCTAAAATGCGTAATCCTTTAGTGACTAATATAATGCTTTACAAAATATAATAATCCCAAAACACATTCTCAACATCAATTTTTAATAAAACAATGGATTTCAATAATCATCATTTTAAAAGGTCATGACGGGTGCAGCTTTTGACCAAAAATGTAGCACAAATAGTACTTTTCCAAAAATATCGAATCTGTAGGAGTTAAGATTGAGGAGGCGAGAGAAAATGTTGATCTTCCGTATTACGTAGATACCACAATTGGAACTCTTTTTTAAGTACGACCTGTAGTTAATAATCGAGTGCATGCCCGAGGAAGTTATAGAAATCAAAAATGTATTCCTTTTCAAAACTCCTTTTCTCTGCATGCTCCGGATGCTCAGCGCTAAGGACGCCCTAGCCACTCAAATAAAGTCCGTTTATCTTTTGAATCAAGTTCGTTCATATTTTATATATGTAGCATTGGCTTGTTTATTGTGTAAACGCTGACTGTGCAACAACAAAAAACGTAGCATAACATTTCGGGACATTGTGTTTTTGTGGAACTTTGTGTGGTTTTACTATTGGGTTGTTTGTATGCTTTTCTATCTGTTACTCTTTTTCACACGATCATTTACGTTATGATCCGAAGATTGGAACTAAAAAAAAATTCGTAATCAAAAGCAGAATATTTTTCATTGATAAACATCGGCAGCCAGTTAAAAAGAGAACCCACCGATAACGAGCAAATTGCGTAGATAATGAAAGTTAACAATATTTTGCCCTTTGGTAATATAACTATATTATTTATATAAATTTTTTCATTTTAACATCGCTTTTAAATTTAATACCGATTTTTAATTTGTCATCAGATAATAGTTTGCTGCAAATCACGATTTCTCTCCGACAAGTCGAGGATATTTCAAAAGAAATCGTAACAAAAGCTGAGGTAACAGGGAACAATGAAATTATTTGGGCTCTAAAAGCCCTAACTTTAATTGATTTGACTACATTGTCTGGTGACGACACTCGGGCTAATGTACAGCGCTTATGTCTTCGCGCAGCTCATCCTTTCCCGTCGTCATTGTTGGAAACTATGGTCGATGCAACACTTCATAAACAGTTGCATGTCGCAGCTGTTTGCGTTTATCCGGCTCGTGTGAAAGATGCTTATGAAACATTTGAGCAATTAAAATGTGTTGATGACATTTCCATAGCAGCCGTGGCTACTGGCTTCCCCTCCGGTCAGTATAGCTTAAAAACTCGTTTAGAAGAAATTACTTACGCCATTGCCTGCGGGGCTAGAGAAATAGATATTGTTATCAATCGTCAATTAGCTCTAACGAAACAGTGGGAAGCTCTTTACGAGGAAGTATGCCAAATGAGAGTGACTTGCGGAGAGAAGGCTCATATGAAAACTATTTTGGCTGTTGGTGAACTCGGTTCCATGGAAAATGTAAGTTCTATCTGCGAGTTCAAGTGCAAAGACTATTAGATTGCAAGTAATTTTAGGTATATAAAGCTGCCATGGTTTGCATGATGGCTGGCGCTGATTTTATAAAAACTTCTACAGGCAAGGAGACCGTCAATGCTACCCTACCGGTAGGCTTAGTAATGATTTGGGCTATAAGAGAATTTAAGCGGAAAACCAATCAAATAGTAGGACTAAAACCAGCTGGAGGGGTTCGTACGGTTCGCGAAGCCATTTCGTGGATGATTTTGGTCAAAGAAACCTTGGGCGTAGAATCGTTGCAACCGTCATTATTTCGCTTCGGCGCATCAGGACTTTTGGATGACATTGATAAAGTTGTGCGTAAAAGCTCACTCTGCAAATCATAATAACTTTTACGGCATTCGGTCCAATTAACATCGCTCACGTCTAGTGAAAGTGATGAAAATACACATATTTTTTTTTTTTATATACAATCAAGTTTTTAATAAATTAACAATCATTCCAAAGTCTACTAGTAAGTTAAATTTGACATAAGAAGAAGAGAAAAAACCCTAGATCGCTTTAAATTCGTCTAGCAGTTATTGTTTTATCGTCTCTTTTAACTGAAGATGACTGGAATGTTGATGTCGCTAACAACTCCAATTCAAACTCATGACCTTGATTTAGTTGATCCGGTTTGGCCTTTTCCATTTTATAACACTAGAAAACAAGAGAGGGGAACAGGCAAGCTCAGATCGGTGCACAAGAATTGGATCCGGGATAATAGAAATTGCATACATCCGCGCAAATTTTCTATGCTCTCGTGAAGCAAATAAGGCTACTACTATGTTTTTTTCATCAAAACACAGCCGAGGTAACTTTTAGAAGTGACGTGTGAGGCTTCGATGAGGGGGGAAATGAGAAAATTCATTCACTTATAAAAGTAGCATACGAGGATTTCATGTCCATGTGGTTGATGTAAAATGATGTGGGTTGCTTAACTTTTAAATAAGATGAAATTCGTCTTATTAAAAGCCAATATTGATTGATTAAGACCAGGATCGGACCAATTAGGTTTAATGACATTATCTATTTACACGAGTGTTTTAAGGGAAGGATGATGGGCGATTTCATGCAAGACAAATGGAAAGTAACTACTAATTGAAATGCAAAGCAAGTTTGACAAGATTAGGTGCAGGGTCCCGTTATCCACACACACACACCACACACATTTGAGTAGTTATTACGCTGAAAGAGTTGAGGTTACAAATGTCCTTGAGAAATCTGGGAAAGCTGAGGCAAGCTTTTTGACAAGAGTGTCATATAGCCAAAAAGCTTTATTTAGAACTGTAGTAAGGTGCTGGGGATGCTTTGAGTTTAAATTCTGATACCCTCTCAGCGTTGCGAGTAGAAATCCGGGTTTGAGGATGAAATTTGATGTTATTTACATCACGAACTAGGAAAATAACGCGAGAAAGCAAGTGGCAATATTATAATGTCTGATTATAATTAAATTAAAAGCAAGCTTAATTAAAATACACCAACTGAAGTCATTGTTTTCGATTTTCTGTACTGCCGAATAAAATGAGACAAACGTTTACTAAGCATTGGTTTGTTTATTCAAGTTTCTTTATAGTACGATTGTCGCACTCCGCAATGTCTCGCACAATACCATCTAACTTCTTAGAAAATGCTTCAAACGAGAACTTTTGTTGTACTCGCTTACGACCCTTGGCCCCCATACGCTCGCATAGGGCCTTATTTGCAAATACAGTTTTCATTGCTTCAGCAAAAGACGCTTTGTTAGCCTCACACAAAAAGCCTGTCTCGTTATGAACTATTGTCTCCGTCGGTCCCCCTGAATTAATAGCTATGATTGGTTTCGACATATACATTCCTTCCAGAGGCACAATGCCGAAGTGTTCATCAATTGGGGTATATAATAAGCATTGCGCGCGGCGTAGAAGCTGAAATTTCTCATCATCACTTGATGAACGCAGCAAAATCACATGTTCCTTGTCCGTTTCCTTTATCAAATCTTTCAGTTCGTTAAAATGTTCCACATTTTCATTGACTCTTGCGTCATAACCACCAGTTATAATTAAACGAGGCTTGTTATCCGATAAACTACAAGATAATTCATGAAAAGATTCAATGGCCAGCTGATGGTTCTTTTTTCTCTCGAAACGGTTGATATCTAAGTACACATAGCAGTCCCCCAAGTTGCGAAAATAGGTTGGAGGTTCCAAATTATGTTTTTTTTCCATCTCATCAAAATACTTTGTATTTAATGACGGATACAACACGTCGGGACAATGATTTATTCGCCGAAAAGTCTCCTGGAATACTTTAAGAGTAAATTTCGAATTCACAAGAATTTTGTCGGCCATGTTTATAGTGAATTCCTCTAGAATATTAATTGGCCAACGATATAGGCTTTTTAAGTAACCCTCTTTTTTGCTTAACAACTGATCTGGAAAATGACAATAAAAAATGATTTTTGGTCGAGGTCGAGCAAACCGCAACACTGGAATGGCAACTGAAACTTGATCGCAAAATATCACATCAACACGTTCCTTTGGAATAATGCAGAATGTTGCATATACGGCGGCATATATCATCCGAAAATAAGCGCAGAGAGCATAGAAACGTCCGAACAATTTCCGTGGCAGCCAATCACCCACCACTTGCACTCTCAAATTACCATCTGCCGTTTCCTCAAAACAATGGTTTTTGTCATGATGATTAGTAAGAAAACCGACTTGATGACCACATTCTTTCAGAGCTATGGCTGAGTCGACCACCAAACGCTCCGCACCTCCTATACCCAAATCAGGATGAAGAAATAGCACGCGAACCATCGTTAAAAGATAACACAAAGAGGATTATTATTTTGCTGCTGCATTAAAGTCATATATATGCTTGACCCCATAAAACACCAGCACTGAAAGATTAACGTGTTTGCACGCACATATATTTTTTGTTTGTTGACTATAATATTCCAGTTGCTTGAAGAGTTTATTCTGTTCACATTGAGCCTTTTTTACTCATCCAGCGAATTTTCGGTAGTTAATTTGCTGAATAACGGAAGAAGAAGAAGACGTTTATTTAATGTTTTTTATTTTGATTTGGCAGTCTTACTGCGCTCGTGAAATTAAACAAAGTGATTAACGTATTTCGTCAGTAAAATATTCCATATGATGAGTCTTACCGCCGTATTCTGGGATTGTCATCTGTCATAAAGTTGCTGATTATATGTCCTTGCGAAGGTTTAGGTCATTTTGTCCCAAATTTGATAATCCGAAGCAAAAGTGAATATAAAACATATGATTAATGATGTCTCATTGATTATGCGCAAAATAAAGCTGCAAAGCAGGGTAACTATCGAATCAAATTGTGTGAAAATGTACTACATGAATCTACGACGACCGAAGCCAAAGTACAAAGTTACATTTATCAGAGAAGTGGTAGGAGAAGCTAATCAGTCCATAAAGAGTCTTAATATATGTTGCGTCAAGATTAATCCTGGAATATCACTTATTATAAGGAATTGACATGAACTGGACGTGAATTTAAGTTACTATAAGGTCGTACTATATATCTTTGGAAATTTTTATCGTTTTGTCTTCTGTTGTGCATGTGTAATGAAACCTTTATTTTTTGCAGAGGTGTTACGTTATGCTATAGCCATGCTCTTTCACCCGCTTTGGCATATTATCACTGCCAATTTTCGTGTAAGAACTCGCAATGTTCTCAACGAATTTGAGACCGATAGTTTAATTTCTGTGACCAAAAGAAGTTTTAGGAAAAGACGATTTCGAATTTACACATAGTACTGAACAGAAATAAATAGTCTTTAAATGATCTCGGTCTAATAACGCATGGCAGTGTGCAGTCTTTTGTGGTTCAGTCCCTTTTGACCAGGCCCAAACCCATCTCTTTGTAATTGTCGCCTGAATTTCGCAAAGTATGCAAAAACATATTACGCATCTCCATAACGTTGAGAACAGGGTGAGTCGAAAATCTTTCCTTGAACCCCAATTTTCAGGTTTAAATATTTTCTTATTAAATTATATTGTTTATATATAAAACATTTATATTTCCTAAATTTCAAGTAATTTAACAAAAAAAAAAAAACAAATGCTACAATTTTCGTTATGTTACGTCTTTGCGTTTTTCCTTTTTTATATTTTGAGTTATGTTATCTGGACAAGAAGTTGGTAGCACTGCCAAAAAAGCAGCTTTACGTTTTCGCGTAGAGTTTATTCTATAACTTTCATATAATCGTCCATAAAGAGAATAGGAAAGCTGTATAATTTATTCAGATGATGGGAGGAAACCATTAAAATTCTTGGAAAATGGAAAATGTGGTTTCGCCCAAAGACGAAGGCTAATGAATACGATTTCGATCGGACCACCTTTTCGAGCAGTCGCCATATTCTCGCCCCATTTTCAAAAGCCGTTAAATGAATAACTGGCCGACTTTAATGCATTTAACTGTTGTTTATATTATATTTAATTTTTATTTATTAAATTTTATTGCTAACATTTACATAAATTTTGTTTTTTTTTTCATTCTTTCTTTTTAGATAATTTGTTACTTTTCATTTCTCTCATAAATTTTTTAAATAACATTTAACTAAAATACTGATAAATACATACGTTTGTATCAATTTGTTTTTAGTGATTTTTGCTGCATTTGCTTTTCTTTTTAAATCAAGTAACTGTTAAATTATTTTTATTTCATTTTTTAACTTAACATATTGCACACATTTTACAATTTATAATAATAAATATATATTTTGTTAATAATTTAAATTTTTTCTATAACCTACTTCGTTATAATTTGCCTTTGCTTGATTTTCTTAATTAATTTATACCAATTTTAAACAAAATATAAAATTATTTTAATAGAAATATAAATCAAAATTAACAATAACTTACAACAACAAGTTTTCATATCTCTTCATTCTCGGTAAAGCGAAAGAATTTCTAAATAATTCACTATTTAATTTTTATACTCGACACCACTAGCGTAGATACATACAATGGTACATTAAGCTTGTGCGGATGTACCTAACACTCAAATGGAGTTGAGATAGACCCACCGATCGATTTAGAATCACTCTTTGCATCGATCGAGACGGGCTTAGTCTGTCTGTCATATTTTGTTCCGGTCAACTTGCATGTAGCAAATTGTTCAGATATTATGATGAAATTTGGTACAGCAAAGTGCTTTAGCCAAGGGACGAACGCTATCAAAAATGATTCGGATCGGACCACATTTTCGATGACTTCCCTTATAATGTTTTGTTTTGATAGGTCACGAATCACTGCGTTAAGCGTAGTGGTAGTGGGTATTTAACGGTGGGCCGGACGGTTTCTTCAATAAAAACAAACAGAAATGTGTGTTCGCTTTGGCGCGAAACTTTGATACTTTGTTAATCTTTGAATCAGTACTTATAGTGCCAAAAGCTTTTCCCAATTAAAAAAACTTCCGATCAGTATGCACTTTAGATTGTAACGCCATTTTGAACCTATTGGTGGTGAATCACGGCCATTTTCAAATTTCATTTCTAGCCACAAATACATTTGCGAACAAGAGCCGAACAGACAGGCAGACAGACCGACGGACGAATTGTGGAATATAACTAAATTGATTTAAAACTACATGCTGAAAATATGTATGGGGTATCTAGCATATGTATCGGGATGATATAAACGGAGAGAGGAAGAATATGTGAATTCAAATTCCTTACGTCAATGGTGGGCAAAAAAAATTAAGACAGTTACTCCAAAATATTTGTACGAGTTGAGGTATGATAATATAAATAGAGAGTGATGAATAATTCTCACGTCAGAATTAGTGGAAGATGATTCGAATCAAATCAAAGGTTTGATTGTTTAAATACATTCAGTGGATTATAAAGTTCTGGGTTTCTTTTGCTTTAAATAGTTGTCTTAATATAAACGCTTAACTATTATTTTCTATTGACTTAACGTTGCTTTTATTTATTTTTCTTTTGAGCTTTTTTTTTTTTATAAATTCTTTGTCTCTTGAAAATTTATATACAAATTTTTTAAATGTTTGTCTGGGCGTGTATTTGTGTACATTATGAAAATCTGTTTAAATGATAAACAATTGGTTCCACTACATAAACAGATTTTAATATTTTTTTAATTTGTGAATTTTTTTATTCATAATTCTACGATACAATATTCTCTCATATAATTAATTTCTTTGTGTTATACTTAATGTATTTCATCTAATAGTAAGTTACGATCTTCATTCAGCATTAATTCAGTATCAGTTATACCCACCACCGCCATCAATGAGTAATTCGAAACGGAAACGCTTGATGAATGCAACTTGAAGAATATGAATTGTTTGGTAGGAAGTTGCACTGCATACTATTAGTATACGTACATGATTGCAGTTATGCAACAAACTTATGAATGGAAAAAAATTCAAATGGATAACTTCCCGTTCAAGTCTCAAGTCAAAATCGCTAAGTGCGATTTCGATGATTTTAGAAAAAATACTCATTGCTTCCACTTCCATAATTTGTTAATTGAATATTTAGACCCTACACCACTTGTCTTATAAGGCTGTGTTAATTTTCGGCATACGTGCGTAACACCTACAAGAACTTGAGGTTGACTTATTTTTTTGAATTTTAGTCAGCATTACTCTCTCAATGGATTTAAACTTGTCTGTCCGCCTAATCGTCTTATGTAAGTCCATGTATGTTTGTGTTCAACTTACAGGTCACAAGTTCTTAGATATTTTGATGAATTTTGGTACGTTGGCATATCTTGAGGCAACAATTGAAATAGTTCGCCATGGACAAGTTTTTCGATCACTGCTTACTTCGAAAAATTGTTACATGAAAGTAGATTGTAATTTTCCGAATTTCGTGACAAAAATCGCTTAGTAACACTGTTTTGGGATTCTAAATTTATGTGTAAAATCTTTGGATGGGTTGTGGCAATTTTTTGAACCCCTTGCCATATAACCGTTCCTACGGAAATTAAATCTTTATTAGGGCAAAAGGGCCTAACTTTCAATACTTCTTGCTGAAAAATCTTTCACAATAATAGTTTGCCGTGAAAATTCATCTTACCGAATGTGAATCATACAGGTCTATATATTTTGGACCCGAACACATATAAGGGCTCTAATAAGCCTTTATATGCCAAATAGGTGTAATTTTTAATACTCTATGATAAAAATTTGTCCCTAATAAATCAATTATACAGTGTTTGGATCACATAGATTTAATTTTTAGACGGCACAATGTATAGGAGCTCCCTTGGAAACAACAACCTACTACAATTGCAAAGATTTATTTGTGGTTTGCAATTGGAAAACAACAACTTTGACAAGTAAATTAAATTTTCGAAATTCCGACCACGTTGACCACGTTTGAGTGTACTTCAATATGAGCGCTTTCATGAATAATTAATTGAAACAAGTGCTTGAGTATATACAATAGTCGGCCTTGCCCAACTGAAGCATTCTTATTTACTTTTAAACATACTTACTTGAGTTGGTGGGCTTTTAATTTTTATGCATTTACTCTTAAGGTGGTGGATACATAATAATATCCGCATCAAGGCGGAAAAATTCGTAATTTTTCTTTGGTTATATTAAATTTTGATCTAAATAACTTGTTTACTTAATTAAAATTATTAACATTATCTCATCATAATTTTGAATGAAATTGTTCTTTAATAATATTAAACTTTTAATTATTCTTATTATTATTATTATTATATTTTTTTTTTTTTTTTGCTTTTAAAAGTTGTCAAGAGTTTAAAAAATTTTGTGTTCTCATCTATTTTCTTCAGTTTATTGTTTAGTACAAAAAAATGAAGGCTTTTTAAGGTACAAATTATCTACGTTTTAGGGAAGGTTTGTGTTATTTTGATTTAGTTATTTATTTTTTCGTTTTTCCTTTTTTTTTTTTACAAGTTTTTTTCAATTTCCATAGAAAAATAGATGCTCAATAGGTGGGATGATTTTTAGGAAAGATTTTCTTTTTTTTTTTTTTTTTTTGTATTTTTCGATTTTCTAGGTGTAAATATAAATTAAACACATTTCATTTAATATGGTTCAGCGTATGTGTGTGTATGTATGTTTGCGCGTGTGCACTAAATCTACTGGCTCTTATTTTCTAATTACTTCTTTAAAATAATTTTAACGATTTCCCAAAATTCGTTTTTCTTTACGCTCTATGAAAATATGAATGCATACGCATGTGTTTGTGTATATATATATATATATGTGTATATGCATTTTTGATTATTCGATTTCTGGCTCTTGTTGTTGTTATCTTGTTGCTATAACAATTTCACTTTTCATATCTCTTACATTCTTTAGTCCAGTTTAATATACGAAATGGATTTGTAAAGTCCTTAGATTTCAGGTATACATGAGTTTCAGAAGGTAAAGATAATTTATAATAAAAAAAGTAAATAAAGGAAAATCATTTTCAAAAATGTTATTTTCTTTGCTTGTTTTTTCTTTTAAATGTACTACTTTCCAATAATATGAGCTTTTTAAAAACTGTTTAGATAAGGATTTCTTGCTTCTTCTTCGGAAGCAATTTAGTGATTTCAATCACACATTTAGGATGCTTTACGATTACTAATGTACCGATTTTTCCGATTATTAGTTTCCGAAGAGTTTTAATTGTTCCCATTGACGGAGCATAAATTTGTTCTGAGAAAAAGTGAATATATTCTTAATAGATAAATATATCTGTCAGCCAATAAGTTCGTAGCATTACATGTAGACATTGCGGAATCCATTTGATTTTGAGATAAAGCCAACCTTTTAATGAAATATGTCAAAATTTCATGACATTCCGAATAGTTTTGGTGAAGCTACTTATTTTGCCGCATTGGACAGCCTTCGCCATCGTTGCTGTCCATTCCGTTAACTGCCGGTGCTTGACTCGGGTGTTTCATCCATTCCACATGAAAAAGTCCTTTTGATTTCGCATAAACATCGTCAACAGTGAATAGCGGTCTGAATCACCAGCACGTTGTTGTTAAAAGTGAACGAACGCGGCACTCATTGCCAATAGATATTTTCCAAAGACAAATGCTCATGTCTTTTGATCTTGATCAACTTCACTTTTCGGGCTTTCAAAACGATTCTATGCCGAAATTGAGCGACTGAAACATTGAGTATCGTCGGTGCCGGTCCATACGATTTTGGGTAAAATTAGCAAATCACCCATTAATTGATTTTTTCGACATACAAAAGTAACCATAAGGTCGTTCAAGTTAATGTTGATTGCGAACGATCATTTTTCATCATCAAAAACCGTTTAATCAACAAATGCAATTCAGATTTTACAAGTGGCTTAAAAATGGTTTAGATTGGACTACATTTTTGATTTATTCACATATATAACACCTTATCTTGAAAAGATCTATGATTAACTGTAGGATGGTGCATGGTATTTAGTGGTGGACCGTGACCCACTTTAGAACTTTTACCTTGTTTTTGCGGGAATTGAAATTCAGAGTTCTGCATTGTTTCGAAAACAGCGAAAATAGTGTCATTCGAACAACTCTAGCTTGAAAACTAATAGTCGGAATATTATGAAACATATCTTTTGAACGTTGGTAATATCTAAAAACTCAATTGACTCCTTAATAGTGACGACATATACAGGTTATTCCACGAACTTTTGTGTCCGTTACGCCTATGGACCGATGTGTCCGTTATGCCTATGTGGTACGAACAGCAAAAGCTTCGAACTTTGCTACAATATATGTAGATAGTAAAAGGTTTAAAATATCAAAACAAACGCAATCTCTTAAAGTCTGATAGAAGTTTATGTACTTGTACAGACAAACGCATTGATTTATGATTATTAGATAATAACATTAACTAGCCATGCATTTTCTAGCTTGTTTGATGATTTCGTGTCATTTTTGCGGCTTCACCATAAGCTTGAGTTATAAAATTTTATAAAAATTTTTAAAATGCTTTTCAAACAAAGCTGGCGTCATAACCGAAGTCGTACCGATGCAAGTGGTAGCCTGATACGTAATTTTCTCAATTTCCGGCAAAGTGCTATGCACGATGCCTTTTCCAATAAACGTTCCAGAATTTATTTTGAGAAAAGTGTTATAAATTTTGAGAGGGCAGGTTCATAATTTTAGTTCTGTACGTAAGCAGGATTTTAGAAAAAAATTATTGTATTTGTGTTGAAATTTTCACATTAAAGTTTCAATTATCTGAATTTTTTGTCCTTCCTCTCTTTATAGCTTTATCCAGCAAGGATACGGATGTATACAACTTGCGACACGTTGCCTGTCCCTCTGAGTGTGCGCCCGTGTTCAACCTAGATGTGTCAATTTACGAGATATTTGAATGGAATTCCCTATATAAACATGTTTTAACTTAAGGGCAAGCCGTATCAAAAATGGATACAAGCGAGCCATTTTTAAGATCAATCACCACGTGGTGCCTTATTTTAAAAATTTCGTTGTGAAGTGGTGTAGTGTATTGAATGGTCGGTCTTGTCTAACGTTGTCATTTCTTTCATTTTCTGCTTTTAAATCAAAAAGTTTCGTACTTTAATTGTTGTGGTTCTTGAATGGGGAAACCGAGCGGTGAAACCATTTAATAGACACAGTAATTGATTAAAAAAAAAAAAAACCAAAGATTTTACTGAATATTGTATCTCTCCACTTATATTATACATCGTTATGCATACGACAAGATATATCAGGGCATTATTTCAACTGCTTTGTACAGAATTTCACCTCACTTCTTACTGGTAAGTCCAAAGAAGTAAAGAAGCTTTTACGCCTTACGCGAAGGTAAAACGCCAATGGCAAAGCTAAATTTGTAAATGTCGTATACAATAACTTAACATAAATAATCTAAATCCCTACTATCCCTTTGCTTAGCGTATAAATAGTAATAATATGTTCCGAACCTAAACCTACCCGTCTTAAGTAAACATGATAAGAACCCAAGAGCATTGAAAAGAGAAAGATGAATTTTACTTAAGGTTATACAGTTATATTTTTGTAGGGTTAAAATAAGCTCTTTCTTAAATTTCTTCGGAAAGCCCCTAGAAGGTGACAGAAACGGAAACCAGAATTAGAAGGCAAGAGGAAATCTTTTGGTTTCAACTTGTGTTACATATTACGTTAATGTCTAAATTCGCTTTCCCTTTTACTAACTAACGAGAATTGTTACGGACATTTTGTATTATTTCATTATTAACCTACATGTTGTATATGTGGTAAATGTACTATACGCGTGTATTCTGGTATTAAAGGTGCGATTGCATATATATATATATATATATATATATATATATTTAACGTACTCGTTAGTCATTACATAAAAAACTAAAACAAACTTTTACAAGCTCATTTACGTAAGAATATAACAGTAACAAATTCCTTGATTAGTTATGGTTTATGTCTCGATAAATCGTCAAGTAACTATAAACCGTTTTGGTTGCAAACTGTTTAGACGATTTGTTTGTCGTCAAGAGCAATTCTAGCTAGAATAATGTTTCTCTGGACCATTTGCGTGCGGAACCCGGTAAGCTAGAATAACCGGTTTGATCACTTTTACATTGCCTCGGTTCAACATCAGCGTTTAGTTCAGAAGTTAACGAATTTTCGGGAGAACTATCTTCCGTTGGCAATTTGATAAGGGGAAGCTCTAACATTAGGGAAGGACAGGGACTGCGATGGTCGGCATATAAAATACTATCATCGTCAGCTTCTTTAGCGCTTGTTAAATTAGTAGCGCTACGACTTACGTTTCCTAATTTTGCAACTGCTTGTGAGGAAGAACCGCGTACTATAAGACTTTTGAGCGAGGAAGGCATACTGATCAAAGGATGATGGTGTTGTTGTATAAATGAATCCGATATCGAAGAACCGCAGGGGTCATTAGTTACTAGAGCAAGTGGCAGTTGTTGCTGTGCATGTTTGTGTTTGCTTGAAACTTCGGGGAAGTCATCACTTACCACCACGCCTAAAGAAGCGCTTGTACATGTTTGGCTCTCGGTTAATGGACTGACATGACCAAAACTAATCACTGTAGCTAAACTACTGTGTTGGGTTAAACTGGTAGAGGCACGACCGCCGCTACCTAATATTGCAGTTTCATTGCTGGCTGTGGTGGTGACGTCAGTCCCACCTAAGCTATCAGGTGTAACTGACAATTCAATGCCGCCGTAAACTCCAACAGCGCCCAATTCCGTATTCATAGTCGAGCAGGTCTCTTCTTCTGTCGCTGTAGTCGTAGTCGTTGTAGTTGTAGTAGGCTGACTATACGGATCGCTATATTGCTGCAGCAATTGAGCACGACGTCGCTGGTGTGCGGGTGGGCTATTTGTGCAAATAATGGCTCCAAAGTGAGTTTCCAAGGGAGCTCTAGACTCGACACTTGAGGAGGGTGTTTGAGTGCCACTGCTGGGAAACTCTTTGAGTTGCTGTCCCAACAGTGTTACCCGATCACTGGAAGAAACACTAATTGTACGGTGCCGTTGTAATAAAGACCGACGGGCACGCGCACTGGCAGTTATGGCTGTACTACCCAATAAATTGGTGGCGTTGATGGTAGGTGTCACAGTTAAGGATTCACCCAAACTATAACGTTTCTCACCGCAATATTTGGCCGGCAGGTGACAGGTACGTGGTATAGCTCCTCTTATTGAGTCCTGTTCTTCGGCCGAATCAGGTACTAGACTCTCATGATCTTGTGCAACTAAATCAATCTCATGACTGCTACCTAAACTCACTTCTTCACTGTCACTGCTTAGCTGTTGCATGTCTTCGTCGGTGTCTGCAGCGCTTTCAATAAAAACCGAATCTTCGTCCAACGAACGCATTTCGGAATCTTGATATTCCAGAGAGGAAATCTTAAAGGAACTTAATGAAGCTAACGGCGCTCTTCTGTTGGCATTGAATATAGCTTTAGCGGATACGGTACCCAAACTACCGCTGCCATTTAACTTATCAATGCTCAATGGAGTACTGTCTACACTTATACTGCTGGAGTTAGCAGCTGCTAGGGCGGCTGCGGTGTTCGCGAATATTGAAAAGGTATTATTATTCTCACAGGTTAAGGTCGCTAGGCTAGGCGGTGTTGTTTGTTCGGGATACGGTATACGAGGAAGTTCCACGACAGCAACTTTGCGTCTTGCATTCAAACGTATGTCTTCCATTGGCGATTCGCTCGGGTGAACGAGATTTTGACGAACATCTGATGGTGGTGTGTGTGGGATTTGCATCGGTGGCAAATCCTCATATATGCCACGCTCACACAAGGGTTGATTGTACGGATAGACGTCAACCGTGTCGGCACTAATTGAATGTATTTGCTGTTTCCGCCCTGACTGGGCACTTTCTGGATCGTAATAAGCTATACTGTGCTTACGTATGAAGGTGGCGGAAGGTTGAACTTTCGTAGTAGATGGAACTGAAGAAATGGAAGTCCTGAGAGGGGTTAAAGAGCTTGTTGGTTTTACAGTCTTGCTGGTTGTCACAGTTGAACTTATCACACCACGCGAATTGGTCTGTACTGTTGAAGTGGCAGAAGACGTCGTTGTTTTTATAGTTTGAGTCGGTATATGAGATTGTAATTGATCATAAATGCTGCGTTCCGAGGGACACGGTGAAGACTTTGGTGTAGGTTGAATCACTTGTATGTCAGGATAATAATAATCCCAATTATCAGTGCTCGATGTTCGTGAAGCCGTTGAATGTTTACGTTGTAATGTATTGGGCAGATTTGCCATACCCAAGGTGAACGCTGAATAGCGTCTTTCTAAATAAGAGCTGTCACTACTACAGCAAGTCATAGCACTACTGCGGCGTGAGTCCTGACCCTAAGGAATACAAAAAGTTTAAATTTAAAGTCTGTATGCGTAAGTACAGTAAACTAAACAATAACGCACCGTTAATGGTACTTTAAGAAAACCGTGTTTACTTTTGATAGAATCTTTCCTTTCCGCCTCCCTTCCTACTTCGTTTAATTGTTTTGCATTGTCCTGCGGAACGTAATCGCCATTCTCTACCTCATCATCGGTCTCCATAAAATAATCGTCTGCACCAAAACTACCCATAGGGTAGTTGCTAAATATACGTGAAGTTTCCGATCCGCTCCTCTTTCGCGTAGCAACGTAACTACCGCCGCCTATACTTAAAGCTCCGGATGCAGCAGAAAATGAAAATCTTCTTGGTGGCTCCAGCAAGCTACTATAGCCACCTCCGCCCACCGAAGAGAAACGAAATCCCCGATTAAGCATGGGTGGAGCACTTACATTACCTAACGATAACATACGCTGGCGTCTGTAAAGTATGGCGTCATATTCATCTGGGTATATAGAAAGGCCAGTGGCCACCATAGCTTCTTGAATTTCACGTTCTTCCTCTTCCTGCATGCATACGGCAGCTACAGCGGCCATTTTGGGATCCTAAAACGTTCATTATCAAAGAAATGTCAGTTGGCTATCGTTTAGGTAAAAGAGTCAAGAAATACCTTCAAAACTTTCATGGTCTCATTGGAACTGCTCCTGCTCTTCCAAACAATTAAAAAGACCATAAGACCGAAAAACCCACCTAAAGTAGCGGCTATACGTACTCCAGTCATGACGTCATATGTCGCAAAAAACTCGGCTCGAATGCGTTCACGTTCCGCTGCCAAAATTTGAGCTTGTAGGGTTTTATTATAAATGTCTGCGGGTATTGGTGAGGCAGTAAACGGCACATATTTATTTGGACTGTAAGCATATTGAAAAATGAATTTTTTGTAAATAATATTTTTACTAAAAGACGTGCAGCTTACCTAAGAGTCGTTGTTGTATATGTGTAGGTTGGATATTTCTCACCCACACCGCTATCATTAGCGTTATGCAAACGCAACGGATCTGGATAACTTGAATTGCCAGTAAATGAATAGCTTGTCGGAGTAGAGCTTTCTTCAGAGTTTGTTGCATATGTTCGCGTTGCTGCCGATGTGAAGGCCGTTGATGATTGATTATTTAATGTCGATGTTGAAATTCCTGAAGTACTATTATTTAAAATCAATGTTGTAGTCGACGAGGCCAGAGCACGTCGTGAAATTTTTGCCATCTCTACAGGAACATTTTCTAAAATAAAAAGAAAATAACTCAATACGAATTAAATATAATTTAATTATAAGAACGAGACAGCATAACACAAAAAGAATTGAAAATAATGTGAAGGAGACATATTTCATCTGCGTTTTTCGACCTTACACCACTTTTGCCGAATGGTATATTAAACTTTTCCACATGTACGCAGCGTTTAGAACGAGTTGAGATAGGCCCATTTTCTTATTTTCTGAATCGATTTAAGTCTGTCTTCTCCTAAGTCTATTTCTTTTCTTGTAGTCTGCTTATAAATCGCTATTGCGATATCTTGATAGAGATTGATATACACTGACATCTTACTATGAAAAAAATTTTCCATTAATTTATTTCTCGGCAAAAACCACTAAAATGCAATAATATTTTAGTATGAAGATATTTTGGCTGATGGTGTGGAATCATTTCTTCACACCCTTCCATAAAACCATTTTAAAAAAAGGAACAGAATAATAAGGTAGTAGGGTCAAGTTTTTGGTGTTTTATAATGCAAATGTTGGTTGGTGCTTAAGATCTAGACTCGTTGTATGTATAATACAATGCGTATAGAAGTCATGACCTAGTGACACATAAATGATACCAAACTATGTGCACATGTCTAAAAGTCTAGAGAAGACTTCAAACGTAATGAACTCACGTCTTCATTTTATTTTGATGTGTGATACTTACACTTTTTTTTCGTTAGACAGTCGTACGTAAAAAAATGTTGTCCATTTCGCATACACTTTTTTCCCTCTTTTAAATAAAAATCAAAAACAATTTCAAATATTTTATTTTTAATTTATATTATTTTTCAAAGCACTAGTCTCCTGCATTCCCCATATGGTTGATTAGATTTTAACAAAAGCATGCATATAAATGTGTTATGCGTGCATGAAAATATAATGGCAAGCGATATATAACACATTTTATTTTCATTTTTCAGTCCATTTGTACGGTGTGTGTGAGTAGCAATTGAATTTTACTTAAAAAAGAATAAAAGCGTACAACTATACATATATCGTTTGTATTTCTGAAAATTAAACACACTTCACTGCAAACATATATTTCAAACATGAACTAAGTTCGGCTCCTCTCCTATTGACAAGATAGAATAGTTTTAGGACTGGAAAGCAAAAGATCATATTCGCCCATAAGAGCCAGTCGTGAATATCCGTTACGCTAAACTGACACGTGTTCGGGGGGGCAATAGAACAATAATAGTCGAGAAAACATATATTTAAGCATATACTTAAGTATTCAAAAATCTTGGAAAACGTATTGAAAAATATTAAAAATTTCCAGCATCCGAACAATTGTTGTAAAGTGTATTTATGTTAAGAGAATCTGCGGTACGCAGTGCAATTGATATAAGAATGTATCTGAAAAAAAATCACTTAATGTACATGTCTACATATGATGTGTAGTGGTAGACGGGAGAATTTTAAAAACATTGATTGCTGCCGTCTTGGGTAACACTACATGTATTAGTCATATTTATATGTAGCTTGATTTTTGTCGTTTCTTAAATCATGATTTCCACAATCTAGATACCTTTGGGTACATTACGAAGCCAAGACGGACAACCAAAAACCACTACTATTTACAAAGCCTAACAAATCTATCTACCCCTAATAGAATTTAAAAAGTGAATAAAAAGCATTCGTTTGCTATTCGAAAGAAGCAACTAAAAGCATATCGCAGGAGTTAGACGATCGCACTTAGAGCCACCTTAAATCGTCTTGAAGTTTTATGCTGATCAAAAATATATAATCTTTTTGGGGTTTCTTATGCATGCCTCTGGGTGTCGCAACCATACGGATAAATTTGTCATGATCCATCGGCGGTGGTAGACATTTTTCCAAATCTTATTTTACGTAAGCAATTTTTCGTGGAGGCCTTCTGAAGCGATCGGTTAAACCTATGGCTTAAAAGCTATCGCTACTTAGGGAACGTGTCACCTAAACAGTCTAGTCTCAAGTGACGCAAGAAAATCAATTGAAAGATAAATATATTTTTAATGTGATCCTTAAGGGCGGAAAAATCTATTGGAGACGCCTTCACCAGCCAGATACACACTCGTGATCAATCAGGTTTGTCTGAACTTATTTGCTTAAAAAAGCAGTGACTTTGTCAAAATTGCGTAACCTATAATTACTGTACTTGCCTCGAAGATCCTAAAGCGCGCATATTATCTTCAGCAACTTATGTTTGCTTCCATCTTGAAAATCCTATCTAAATTAAGAAAGTTAAAAATCTTTCCTTTAAGGGCTCTAAAAATACGGCGTAGAAATAATGTGTGTTGTGTTAATTTGCTCAAGGGCAGTTTTAGGTTACCAGGAATCTATTGTTTGCCGAAGTTTTGGATTAACTCACCTTTGATATGCTAAACTATTTACTGTAACACGCAAACACTATTCGTTTATCGTCTCCATTTAAAATGCTAAACGAGAATATCCGCCAGGCGGGCTTTCTTTGCACTTTCAACAAGAGAACTGACAGAAACATGGTAAATCACTACTACTACCAATATCTTTTGTCACTTCTGCGTTATTTTGCATTTTACCAATCTGGTAATGACGCCTTGAGGAACACCATAATTGACGTTTAGCTATAACCACTTGATTTGCTCTCTAAGAACGAAACGCATGCAATAAAGAAACAGTTTCTTCACCAGATTAACTCTTTGTATTTTTGCATATCTTTATTAAAGTTTTCTATACATATTTGGGGAATAAATTTAAAAGACGTTGGATTATATGCATTATGTATCTATTATGATACATATATTTAATATTATGCGATATGTAATATGGAAGAAAACACTTTATGGCTTTTTGACCATTAGATGGCTTTACGAGTTGTACTGCTATAAAGCATGCATTTGAAAGATGATCATCCCTAGATAAAGAAAACTAGAAACCTTTAAGGTATTTTTAAATTCAGTTTAAAACCACTTGCGCAAATATTCGTGATGGTTATCGTGAAGATACTTTATCGAAATCGGCAGCATATGATTCTCTCGTTTCTGCTTTGAAAATTTCGAAGCTAAAAACAAGCCGCGCTCTATTCGCTGACAATTATAGATAAGGTCTACGAAACTTTTAAAGAAAGTGTAGTATGTTTGGCTACCGCAGGCATAAACAGCGAATGAACCGAATATACATCTGTGAATGGCTGCAGTTCTGAAGACGTTAGCAATGAGTGATGGTAAGTAGGGTACGCACAACAGAAATGTGTGCAAAAAATTCTCGTCTAAGATGAATGGAGTTGCACGAAACTGTGGTAAAAATCTTGGATTAAGATCCAAGTGTTACCGTCAGGTAACACTTTGCGTTTATTTATTTACTTGTGCACTTGCTTTCTTGTTTTTATTACGACCAATCAAAAAAGCTAGGGAGATGAAGAGTGCAGCCTAGTAAGAGTTATACCTTTATTGACTGAGCACTTACTGCAGATACAATAAACTTGAGATTTTGACCAGCGAACAATGACTTAGCAGTCGCGGCACTTACCTACTCGACTCTTTGATGCTTCGCATTTTGTAGGATTGACAGGCAGTCGTACATGGCGATGAGCTGCTTCAAACTGGCCACCCGATTGATTACACCCTCCATTGTTAAAAAATAACGCATTTAGAAATGTTCATTAAGTATACGATATCGTCTTCCATTACGACAACGCTAGGCAAAGCACGCCCTCAACACACGATTCAATAGAAATTGAGAGGGCTGTGCTTGCAACTTTCGTCACCTCCGCTGTGTATGGCGGAACTCTCTTAATGCAGTAAAACCGACCGCTGAAAAGAAGTCTCTTGCAATCATTTAACCCGGTTTTACGCTTAGAAGTTCCGGGAGTTCTTCAATGATGACATTATTATTTTACCAAAAAAATATCAAAAGGTGATAAGCCTCATCAAAATGGTACATATTTGATTTGAAAAGCTTCAATGAGGTTTAGTAAACAAATGTCATGAAATTTCTCCTTGCTGTGTAAAGTTTTTCACATGTTGTAAAAATTTGCATCAAGTTCTTTTTACGTACGAAAGAACAAGAAGGTAGAGAAAAAGCAAGCTAGGTATAAACACAAACAATGTTACAATGTTAAGAGAACGTGTTCAGGAAATTATTCTTGGCAGATTATAACTGAGTAATGATTATTAGAAACAATTATATCTAGAAACTAAATGAAAAGTTTTAATTGTAAATTCACAAAACGGCAGTGTATGAATGAATACCACATCAAGATTACGGTTTGGGATATGGGTGGCGCTTTCAAAATCATTGGTATTAAATTATCTGTAAAGATTACTGTTTGTTCTTTTAGGTTACGACGCATATGAACGAGATGATGATCAGGAAGAAAGAGTGGTAGAGCGTAGCTGCAATCTGAGTTTTTTACTTAAATTTATTAAAACATTCTAAGCAATTTTCCTTTAATTTTCTAAAGTTTGTTGCAAAATTCGTTTAGTCATTGCCTTCATATAAAAATAAATTTCCAAAAAAAGAACGAAATATTTTTTTATAACCATAAAGTTTGTTATTTGCTGTTTTCTCTTTGGATGTTATTTAACAAAACTGGGAAAAAGAAATTAAACTTTTCGAAGAAAAGTCAATAAAGTCAGTGCCGCAAATACTATCACATTCGTTGTATATGATAAAGGAAGCACCTAAATATCTAAAGCATTTTTTTTAGTATATATATACTCAAGAGTGAATTATACAAATGTATACAAAGAAAGTTTTACTTCAGTGCTAGCAGCGAGGGCAGAGTTTTTCAATCAGTTTTATAGGGTGCTGTTGGAAAATCCGTTTTTCATAATAATAGAAACAAAAGGGATTCTGGGATATCTACTAAGGAAAACATAAATCAAGGACGCAATAAAGCTATACAATTGCTTAAAAGCGAATTTTGGATATCGGTTGACGTACGAAAGCTAAAATTATTTTTGAATTTCATATAAAATCAGGTAGTGCAGTTATAGGCTTCATTATATGTACACA